TCTGAGTGCCGCCTCTGGCACCCGTGCCATAGGTTCGCCACCACTGGCATATAGATCTGTTGGGATCACAACTCCCAAGAAGGTCTGTGGTTGTGCTGGTTGAGAATCCTGGAGTGGGAAACCCATAAGAACATAACCAGTCCCTTTTCAGATTGGACCCCTGGTCCATCTAGTCTAGCAGCCTGTTCCCAGGGTGGAAAACTGAGTGCACAAAGAAACCCACTAGTCTTGAAGCAGATGGTTCAGTTTTCTTGAAGTAGATGGTACCCGTTTGTTTTAGACTGGATATCTTTATTCTCTTCTTGCTCAAGCCTGTTGACGGCCAGTATTCTCAGGCCAGCTCCAGAAAACTTGCTGATATCATCACCATCGTTAATTTCTTTGACCACCTGGTTTCTCACGCCCTCCCTGATGGTTTGTGCATGCAGTGACCTCAGTGTAGGCTTGCCTGGAGCCAGCTACTAAATCTGAAAAACTGCTTAATGCTGTGGGTTTCCACAGGTCTTCAGACCCCTGCTGCATTGCCCTCACCAGGGCATTATGAGACATTCAGAACAGTGGGTGGCTTCTGGACGGGTGAATGGACACCGTGAGGAGACCTGGGACCCTATTGCTGGAATTTCTAGCCTTGTACTCAAAAATGTAGGAGACATATGGACTTCTAGGATGCCACCAAATTCCATAGCTTCCAGGTTCTAAAAAAGCACGTCTAAACACGGGGACAGCATACTAAAAAGCAGAGACATCACCCTGCCAACAAAAGTGCGTATAGTCAAGGCCATGGTTTTCCCAGTTGCAGTGTATGGATGTGAAAGTTGGACCGTAAGAAAGGCTGAGCGACAAAGAATGGAGGCCTTTGAACTATGGTGCTGGAGAAGACTCCTGCGAGTCCCTTGGACTGCAAGGCGTTCAAACCAGTCAGTCCTAGAAGAGATCAACCCCGACTGCTCTTTAGAAGGCCAGATCCTGAAGTTGAAACTCAAGTACTTTGGCCACCGAATGAGAAGGAAGGACTCACTGGAGAAGAGCCTAATGCTGGGAAAGATGGAGGGCAAGAGAAAAAGGGGACAATGACAGAGAATGAGGTGGCTGGATGGAGTCACTGAAGCAGTAGGCGTGAACTTAAATGGACTCCAGAAGATGGTAGAGGACAGGAAGACCTGGAGGAACGTTGTCCATGGGGTCGCGATGGGTCGGACACGACTTCGCAATTAACAACAACAAAAAAAACACGGGAGTTATAGTACAGTTCCATCTGAAAATCCAGAGTTTCTTTTGTCCTAGTGTAACCTGTATCTCTGGTGGCCTGCAATATCCAAACATGAGGGGTCCCCAGGTCCAGTCTTCCCCCGTGATTCCTCTTAACTTGAGCCAGAAGGCTGTTTTTCTTCTCTCGTTCCAAGCAAAGGTTGGGGAATAACTGGTCGGGATAAAATGGGAACATCCTAACTTAACCTTTGTGCTAGTAGATAGAATGTGCTGTGTTCCTGGGGAAATCTTTGCTGAGCCTAGAGATCTGGGCTGCTGCTTTGTCAAAGGCTACGTCAAGGAAAGGAGTGGAGATAAGACGTTGGGCTGAATCAGCTTTCCTGACAAGCACTTTAAACCCAGGCCAGGGTTGATGTCAGTGTCTTGGCTGGAGAAGACAAGGAGAAGACTTGAACATTGAGCCAATACATTTTGCAACATAAAGCAGGGGTGTGTTTTTTTCCCCCCTCTCCTCGTCTTCCAATCTCTGCTTTGCTGTTTCACATTGTCACCGTGAACCATTTGTGGATTTCAGGACTCTTAATACAATTCCCATCGGTATGTCTGCCATTTTCTTCGAAATGAAAAAGGTCTTCTGCAGTCACGACATAAGCCTAAGACTGAAAATCAGGCCTATCAGATGCTATATTTTTTTCTATCCTGCTCTATGGAGTAGAGAGTGGGTCTCTGATAGAAGGCCACCTGAAGAGACTAGAAGCATTTGAAATGTGGATTTACAGGCGGCTGCTACGTATAAGCTGGGTTGACCAGATCAGAAATGAGGAGGTGATAAGCCGCCTGGGAAAGCCAAGGGAAATCATCAAAACAATAAAAAAACGAAAATTAAAATATTTCGGACATGTGATGCGACACCCAGAAAAATACGGCATACTCCATTTAATCCTCCAGGGAAAGATGGAAGGCAAACGAGGTCCAGGCAGAAGAAGAACATCGTGGCTTCAAAATCTAAGGGACTGGTTTGGACAAAACTCAGCAGCACTTTTTCGTGTGGCTGCTGATAAAAACAGGATCGCCAACATGATCACCAATGTCCGATAACGGATATGGCACAAGAAGAAGATGATGTCTGCCATTGCCCAGTTCTTGTGGCTCGGACTTCATTTCAATCATTCTCAAATTTTTTGAAATCAGCTAAGGGTGACCTTGGGTGAATAAGAGCCTTGTTGGTGACTGGCCAACAATCTCTTAGCTGTCCCTCCTGTATCTGTATTTCCCCATCTTAAGCAAGCAGTATTATCGTTTCATTTTCTGCTTTTCCTGGAGAAGAGTTAATGTATATATATGGGAGGATCAGAATTAGGGGGGGGGGGTGTTTTTGGATTGTTTGTGTGTGTTGTTGTGTTAATAACCAACTAATCCTAGGGAAAGGAAAGGTAGATGAAAGATCAACCATCTTATCTCCAGATGGTTTCAACCATGCCTGAAACGGGGTTAGGCAATTTACGTGCAGCACACCTAAAAAAAAAAACAGGCGGAGGGTTGATTGCACCATCCCAGCTGCAGTCAAATCAATCACGTGTGTTTTGATCATGCTAAGGAGACACCTCAATCCGTGGCCCTCAAGCTTCTCCCCTCAACCCCTGTAATCTCTCCCTTGTTGAAAAAGCCTCATTGTTTTCTGTGAACCGCGTTCGTAGGGATTGGAATCCAATGTTACAAAAAAAACCAAAACATGTTTTCCAAGCCGTGGCTGATCCTGCACAAACTGGATCTCATCTCTCTGTAACCAAACCTCAGCTTTTACATCTTTTCAATATTGAGGTGCACACGGTTGCTAAACAATTCACAGTTTCTGTTCAGCGGTTCAGGACACGTGTGGGCCCTCATTCTGTTTGTAATTCACTCACAGCTCTCTCTCTCTCTCTCTCTCTCTCTCTCTCTCTCTCTCTCTCTCTCTCTCTCTCTTTCGCAACCGAGGTAGAACATGCTATTACAGAGAAACCAAAATACCAGCTTCCTTAACTGCTTCATGCTCAGCCGAGAAACAAAACAGCCTACAGTGCAGGATAGGGAATAATTAAATTGGCCTGCTTTAGCAGCTGTGTTGATCGTATAGATTGAGTCTCTCTCTGCAGATAACGCCGAACGCCAAGTGACAATTTTAGCTTTCGTTGATGAAAGCAAGGCATCCACTTTAGCCAAGAAAATGACATAATTATAATTATCACCAGTTGGAGCATAAATGGCTTCACAGAGGGCTTGGCAACATTTTTGAAAGCCCAATTTAAACACTGTACTATTTTAGTATAGGTTCTGTGAACTGGGGATCCAGCAATACAGATAGCCCCAAGATTTCTGTTGCTATGTGAGACAGCTGTTCAGTGAGTTTTACGACCTACCTTGCCACAGTTGTTAAGTGAATCACTGCAGTTGTTAAGTTACTAAAATGGTTGTTAAGTGAATCTGGATTCCCCCGCTGACTTTGCTTGTCAGAAGGTTGCAAATGGGGACCCCGGGACACTGCGACCGTCATAAATATGAGCCAGTTGCTAAGCGGCCAAATTTTGATCATAATGGTCATAAGTAAGAAAACTAGTGATAATTGGCACTTTTTCCAGTGCTGTTGTAACTTGGAATGGCCACTGAATGAATGGTAGATGAAACCAATTTTTTTTTTTTTGCAGAGGTCTCATTGTTATTTGGAGCATCAGGAGCACACACCTAAGCGTAACTTATCTTAATCATCTTTGTTTTGTTTCACATATTGTTGTGCTTCATTAAATAAATAATAGTGTTAACAAACAAGTCCTTCCAGTGAACTAAAAAAAAGAATACTCCTATCAGATTAACCTTTCATACTGATAAACCACATGATCTTCCTTAAGAAGATTATAAAGGGAGGTAACTTTAAATAAGAAAGGAAGAAAAAAAGCAAATGAACTGGATGATTACCCAGTTGCTAAAAGTCAGGTGGCATATAAATTATAATTATAAAGTAAACAGAACAGTTCCTGAAAATTTGACCAGATTGAATTTAACAGAAGAATAACAGAGTTGAAAGGGACCTGGAGGTCTTCTAATTCAACCCACAGCACGAGACCCTATGCCATTGCTCAAATAATTTTCTTGTCCTGGTATAAAAAAAAATGAAAGAAAGGAAAGGAAAGGAAAGGAAAGGAAAAAGGAAAGGAAGAACGAAAGAGTGACAGAGAGAGAGAAAGAAAGAAAGAGACAGAGAAAGAGAAAGAAAGAAAGAAAGAAAGAAAGAGAGAAAGAGACAGAGACAGAGAAAGAAGAAGGAAGGAAGGAAGGAAGGAAGGAAGGAGGAAGGAAGGAAGGAAGGAAGGAAGAAAGAAAGAAAGAAAGAAAGAAAGAAAGAAAGAAAGAAAGAAAGAAAGAAAGAAAGAAAGAAAGAAAGGAAAAAAAGAAATTTACAACAATTGCAATATCATGTAATCACCATTCCCAGCTGGCTTCTAACAAGCAAAATCAGTGGGGGAAGCTGGTTTTGTTTAGTGACCACATGATTTATTTAACAACTGCACTGTTTCTCTTAACCACCTGGGCAAAAAAAAACGTACAATCGGGCCACACTCACTTAACAGACGCCTTGTTAGCAATGGAAATTCTTGTCTCTATTGTGGTAAGGGCCACCTGCAGCTGTGCTTGTAGACAACAAGGATTCAAGGATGGAATGAGAGAGAAGAGTCCTGTCTTAGAGACCTCTTCCTTCACCTGAAGCTTCTAGCTGGGATCTCTCCTAAACCCAACCACTGTTTTTGCTCCTGCAGACGATCTCGTGCCCAATGAACGCAATAACCGAGGACATTTACACCAACGGCTCAGCCAAGAACGGCAGCCTGGCTCATGCCAACGGCCAGGAGGTGCGGAAGATACGTCTAATCCAGTTTGAGAAGATCACGGAGGAGCCCATGGTGAGCTGGCGGGAAAAGAGGGGAAGAGACTTGGTTTGGGGGGCATTCCAGCTACTGGGAAAATCACCGCCTTGATCTAATGATAATGGTTTAACCTTTTTGGGTATCTTTGGCCTGGATAATTTGAGACTTCATTGACATATTGCAATACATTTTGGGGAGGAAACCCCTGCAGTTGGCATGGCAAAGAGTGAGCTCATGCCAACGACTTTCTGACTCTCTGCCTAATTTTTTATTTTGACCGATGAAATTACTTGGATGAGGAACAAAACGTCTCGGATTAACAAGCTTTGGTCCAGTTGCCATGATTTAACCTTTTTTTTTTAGATATATTGTCTCAATCCTGTAGGCCAGAGGCCCCCAAATTTTTGGGCACCAGGGACCAGTTCCATGGAGAAAGGTTTTTCCACGGACCGGAGAGTGTGTGGTTTTTGTGTGCTGCCTGCATCCCGCAGATGGGGCTTCGCTTGTTTGTGCGGACCGGTTGCTGGCATGCCGCAGCCCGGTACTGGTCCACGGACCGGGGGTTGGGGATCCCTGCTGTAGGCAGACAACTACAACAAGTGAGAAAGGAGTGGGTAAGCTCTACACAAATAACAGATTGTGGTTTCTTTGATCGAAGAGCTTGTCCCAACAGCAGTCCTTTGGAAGGGGTTCCTCTTTCGTTCCCCAATGTCTGGCAGCCTTAAAAAAATGGCTATAGAGTCAAATCCAACGGAGTACGACTAACGAGCATGGCTCCTTCAGAGATGCCAAGCCGTGGTAGCACACCATTACTGCTTTATTTAAACACTGCATTTCAGTCCCAAAGGCTGACTTAGTTTAGATCTTGTTCCAGAGCTTTTTTTTGGGGGGGGGGGAGGGAGGGTGTTAAAAGATGTAGCACAAAAGGAAAAGCAGAGGTGAGCGGGAGAGGAAGATGCGACTCTCAGTCTAGTTTGTCACATGACTCCCTGTCTTTTCCAGGGTATCACACTGAAGCTCAACGAGAAGAAAAGCTGCATGGTGGCCAGGATCCTTCACGGGGGCATGATTCACAGGCAAGGTAAATACATGCTGACCTGGAAAAACACAGGTAGTCCTGACTTACAACAGTTCACTTAGTGACTGTTCAGAGTTACAACAGCACCGAAAAAAAAGGGACCAGAAAGACCGTTTTTCACACTTATGACCGTTGCAGTATCCCAATGGTCACGTGATCAAAATCCAGACCATCGGCGACGGACTCCTATTTATGACGGTTGCCGTGTCCCGGGGTCAGTTGTCAGAAGCCCTTTCATGACCTTCTGACAAGCAAAGTCAATGGGGAAGCCAGATTCACTTCACAACCGGGTTACTAACTTAACAACTGCAGGGACTCGCTTAACAAACGTGTCAAGAAAGGTTGTAAAATGGGGCAAAGCTCACTTAACCAAGGTCTCCCTTAGCAACATAAATTTCGGGCTCCGTTGTGGTCGTACGTTGAGGGCTACCTGTACTCTAAGAACCGCCCGCCTTCCGACTGCAGAGTGAAGGCATGGCTGTATCCCCCTTTTCAGCAGCTGAGTCTGGGATCCCGAATTTTTCAAGGGGTCCTTATGCAAATAGTCCTTGACTTACAACAGTTCACATAGGGACTGTCCAAAGTTACAACGGCACTGGAAATAAGTGACTGAAGAACCGCTTTTCAATCCAAATTTTGATCACGGGACTGCAGGGATGTCGCAACAGTGGTTAAGTGCAGGTCGCATTTGTCAGCGCTGTTGTAACTTCGAACGGTCGTTAAACAAATGGATGTAAATCGAGGACTACCTGTAGTATCATTGATGTGGGACTACGATTCCCCACTTCTCTCCTGCCGTTTGGAGGGAGAGAGGGGAAAACTGTTTTGCATTTTTAATTCTTAAGTCTGTTGGGTACTTCCTTCTACAGTTGCCTTTCCTGATTTCCAGTGTCTTGCCCTTAACCCTTGACAGTTAATTTTCACCAGCTTTTTTTAAAAAAAGGTGAACCATTTTTCAGGCTATCAGCTGCTGTTTTTGCCATTCTGGCAACCGTGCCTTTTTTTTTTTTTCCTGACGCATCACCGTTCTGTGTGTCCTATCTTGGCAGGTTTCCTTCGTGTGGGAGATGAGATTCTCGAGATCAATGGGAAGAGTGTGGTCAACCATTCTGTAGACCAGTTGCAGAAGATCTTGGTAGGTTTGGGGACAAGGGAAGGCAGGATGGATCTTCTCTGGGGAACAGAAACCGGGGGTGACTACAATACCCAGAAGCGGGGGAGAATAAATCATTGTGGACATAAGCCAGGTCTTTGGGGTACATGTTTAGTCTTAAATGGTTATTTTAAAAGGGTGGGCTGAGAAGAACTATCCAGATGCAACTCTTACCGCATTCATTGAAAAATATATTCTTGAAGACAAGAACAGATGAAAGATGCGGTTGTTCAAAATTGAAATTAATTTAATGGTCCACAATTTCAGTTAAGTTTGAGAACCAAGGTTTTAGCATCTCAGCCAGCATGCCAATCCAAGGTTTTTAATTATGGTTCGAAAATTAGATCGAATTCACACATATGGGATGAAGTGGAATTCACACATAATGTTAAGCCACCAGAAGTGAGTTTACTCACCATCAAACCATCTTTATGGCTCATTGTAATGTGTGAGTCAGACTTCCTTCCCGTCTTCTATTTCACTTTGGGGTCAGCTAGCTTTGAGCTTTGAAACTCAACACGCTTTGCAGGGGAAATACTGCTAGGTATGGTTTGAACATTAGATCCTCCTTCTGGTTAAGTTCATACATTCATTTTTCCCGAGACTGCCAGGACAATAGAGTAGCTTTGGAAATGCTTCTGTTAGGTCAGGGGTAGGCAACCTTGGCTCTTTTATGACTTCCAAGCTGAGCCATGCTGGCTCAGGAATTCTGGGAGTTGAAGTCCACGAGTCATAAAAGATCCAAGGTTGCCTACCCCTGGTCTAGGAGGCTCACCACTTAGAACAGGAGGACTTAGGACAGGGGTAGGCAACCTTGGCTCTTTTATGACTCGTGGACTTCAACTCCCAGAATTCCTAAGCCAGCATGGCTGAGCTTGGAATCTCTCCCTTTCCCCTCAGCATGGCTGGCTCAGGAATTCTGGGAGTTGAAGTCCACAAGTCATGAGGGGGCCATAGTTCCCCCATGCTAGCTCAGGAATTCTGGGAGTTGAAGTCCACGAGTCATAAAAGAGCCAAGGTTGCCTACCCCTGTGTTAGGTGCAAGAGGTCAGGAGCCAGGGTAGAGTTCAAAAGCACTTCAAGTTTTTTTTTCCATGCTACATATACACAAGAATTTGAACTACTAACGGTCAAGGTGAATTGGTGCCAGATAAGAGTCAACGGACTTCAAAGAAGGCTGGACTTGGGTCTCATATGAAGACGCAGAGATTCCAAACTGATAATTCATTTGACCCCACCCTCGGACTCAGCCTGGTCCTCTCCTACAAGCTTCTGTGGAATATTAAGGAGTGACTTCTAGTCTCCCCCATATTTGCATTTTGGGTGACTGAAGAAGGGGCATTTGGAATTTTATTCCTTGGTCGGTCTGGAAACCATTTCTTAATCTAGAAGTTCTTTTTTCCTCTCTTTCCTTTAAACCCTTAGAAAGAAACCAAGGGAACCATCTCCCTGAAGATCATTCCCAACCAGCAGAACCGAATTCTGCCCCTCAAGGTAGGTGGAACATTTGCAATTAGCAGTTTTACTCTGAGGTGATTTTTTTAAAATTAAAAGGTTAAAAAAAAAGAATGGATTTTGCACCTAGTATGTAACACGATGTACCTTCGCTTGACCTGTTCAGCCAAACTCTACTCCTGCCTTCTCACAAAGAGGAGGCTGGCTGGGGAATTCTGGGAGCTGAAGTCCACATATTTGAAAGTTGCCAAGGTTGAAAAATCTTGGGGTGTAGGGACTGGGAAATGCCTTCTCTCTTCCCTGTTGGTTTCCCCCCCCCTTTTTTTTACATATATGTATGTATTACTACTTTGCATTTTACAGGATTGAAGTCCAGCAGCACAAAACACAAAGAACTTGGGGTTGTCCCCAAATTCTTGGACTGCAGCTTTTTTGTCCACTCTCAAGTAGCTTGTTCCCTCCTTAAAGCAAAGCCAAAGTTCATAGTCCTGGAGCATATGCAGGAAGCAAATAATAAGATAAGATAAGATAAGATAAGATAACCTTTATTGTCATTTTTATACTGTGGGCACGATGGCACACATCAAAAATGAAATGTACACAGATTAATTATTTAAAAGAGAAAAAGAGAGCAACAGGATAAAAGGCTGATTAAAGTGCAACGAGGCTCTGCAACGAGGCTCTGGTGGGAGTAACCCTCTAGCCCAGGGGTCTTCAAACTTGGCCCTTTTATGACTTGTGGACTTCAACTCCCATAAAAGGGCCAAGTTTGAAGACCCCTGGGCTAGCCATTCCACTTAAGAGCAACAGAGCTCTTGAGTGGAGTGGAGTATCTTGAAATCTTTGCTGGATCCCAAATCTTTGCTGATCTCAGTACCAGTTCTGTGGATTCCCCACCTGCTCTTGAAGTTACGTCATATCGTTGGGCTGCAGATTCTTGTGGGGAAAAGCTATTTTCTTTGGAAATAAACCATGCTGAACAAACTGAAGCCTTACTCAGGAACCTACTGCAGGGTTGATCCAGGCTTTTTTCCAAGACTACCGATTCCATTTCTCACAACCTTTATTTATTTATTTATTTTCCACCTAGTGGATCTCTTCCACCTTTTTGACTGCTGCAAAGCAAATAAAAATGGATCCCGGGAAGCTTTTGCTAGCTGTGTGATCGAGTGACAGCTCCTGTCAGGGAGTCATCATTCTTGCAGGATGACCGCAATGCTGCTTTTATTTTTTGCCTGTTTATTTATAGTATTTATGACCTGCTTTTCAACTGGTAAGGCGACAAGGGTGGCTTCAGAGAGCATCAACAACCAGACAGACATTATTGTTAACTTTACAGCCTACCAGGCGATGACGCAAAATACAAAAAGAAAGCCAGATGGGGAAAGAAAAGAGGAAATTGTCACGCATCCTTGCCTGTTGTGCAGATGTCAAGAGTAAGAAATAGTGTTGCCTCTGTAATGCAGTTAGAGGTTGTTGGTCATTTCCTCCTGACTCTCTGGAAGGGGTTAATTGTCCTGAGAAACAAGTTGGGAGTCGGTGGAAATAGATAGGCAAAGATGCATGGAAATATTGGTTGAGTGAAGGAAGGGAGGACTTCTCTTGAGATGGTGTGAAGAAGTTGTATTGGAGTTCTTCCAGAGTAAACCAGACACCCCCCCTCATTGCATCTAAGCCCATGTTTCTCAACCTTGGAAACTTTGTGTGTGGACTTTCAACTTTCAGCCAGATCCCAGTTTGATTTGGACCACCATCTTCTGAAACCTTCACAAACATTAGAAGGAAACACTGTAGGTTATGTGGTTGTCATAAGGACCTCTCCCTGGCATATTTTCCTTCATCATTTGAGATGTCTCTTGGATAGAATTTGTCTTTTACATTCAAATCAATGTTATTCGTGTGATGCAAGACAAAGCTGATGGACCAATTGAGTTTTCTTGAATGCTCCCCTCCCAACAGATGTTTGTCAGAGCCCAGTTTGACTACGACCCGCAGAAGGACAACCTCATCCCTTGCAAAGAAGCTGGCCTGAAGTTCCAAACTGGAGATGTAATTGAGATTATCAATAAAGATGACAGTAATTGGTGGCAAGGCCGGATAGAAGGTTCTTCCAATGGCTCGGCAGGACTTATTCCATCTCTGGAGCTGCAAGAATGGTACGTCCTGCTTGCTTGTTTATTATTCATTGATTATGCCTTCAAATCAGTCTGGATTCTTGGCGATTGCCCGGACTAGTTTATGCAGTTTGCTTGGCAAGGTTTTTCAGAAGTGGTTTGCTGTTGCCTGCTTCCTAGGGTTGAGAGAGAATGACTGGCCCCTAGCTGGCTTTGTGCCTAAGTTGGGACACAAACTCCTGGTCTCTTGGTTTCTAGCCTGGTCCTTTAACCATTATTCCGAAGTGGTTCTCTAATTACTAGTTTTATAAGCGTTCTGCATACTGATCCCCCCAGAGAAGTTGAGGCCAGAATAACCAGCATGGTTGAAACTGACTTTGAATTCTGTCAATTCCTTCCAAACAAAACTGCTTGGCATCACTCTTACGGGTGCATTCATTCCATCATCTGCAGAAGTAATTGGGTTTAATCCTTGAAGGTCTTTTCAAAAAGGCTCTTAAATGTGGTCAGAATATTGCAGTTGAAGGCATATTAAATGAAGTCCCAGATGAGGAGGGAGATCACATTTTGGTGGCCCAACTGGAAAAGCTTCATTGGTCTCTGCTGGTTACCTGCTTAACCTTGGAAGATGAAGGTCCCCAGGGCTACCTTACATTGAACCACAGTTCTTGAGCTGCTCTTTTTGGACCTGATATTCCCAGAGAACAACTAAGTCCTTGCCTTGGTGTCCTTTCGCAGCCATGGAGCAGCGCTCAATCCCTTGATGAAATCAACAGTTGGAAAGCCACCTTCTCCCTCTTTCCAAGTCTTTTGAGGATGACAGAGATGGGATGAGGTGGTAGATTAATGAAAAGTCAGGTTGCTCTTAAGATTGACTTGCTGTCACTGCAAACTTCCTGCAGGCGTGTGGCCAGCACAACCCAAGAGAATCAGTCTGAAGGCCAGAGTTGTACCCCTTTTGGAAAGAAGAAAAAATGCAAAGACAAGTACTTGGCAAAGCACAGCTCAAGTAAGTCCACAACTTTTAGTCTTCGGATGGGCACTGCCCAGCATCAGATTGCAATGCACTCTGCGTCTATGTTTGCACAATGTATTAGAGCCAAGCCAATAAACCTGGGCTGGTTTAACCTGATAGTCTAGTTCAGGATGCTAAGAGAGGGGTTCGCACAATAAAGTGAACCACCACAGACTACTTAATCCCATTGTAGGCTCACCTGAAGATGTTAACAGAAGCCAGCCTTTGTGCTGGATGATGGGTAGAGCAGCTTTGTTACATCCTGGTTGGGGGAGACTATACTTTTAGAAGGCCTTAGAAACATTTTCTTTTGGCATTGGTTTTGAACTTCATATATACATCTTGTAATTCTCCGGCAGCCTGCCCAAAAAAATCCCTTGTTAGGGAATTCTGTTCAGATGTCTTCTGTTGGGGTTAGTAGAAGCACGGAGGTCTGTAAGGCAGCTGAGTGGAAGGCCATTCAGTGAAAAATGGGATATTCACACGTGCCCCTTGACTAACTATAGGATCGAATAAGTGCAAGTAAAATGCTCTACCAGGAGTGCATATTGCTTGTGTGAAGGAAGGACCTCTCTTGAGATGGTGTGAAGAACTTACATTGGAGTTCTTCTAAGGTAGACTAGACCTCCTCATTGCATCTAGGCCAGTGTTTCTCAACCTTGGAAACTTTAAAATGGGTGGACTTCGATTCCCAGAATCCCCCAGCTGCCATAAATAATAATAAATCCTTTCCACCTGCCATGTTCCTAGGATTGTTGAAGTGGTCCATTTTTCATTCCTCCGCCTCCGCCTCACAACCTCTCTTTTCCCTCGAAAGACATGTTCAAATCCAGTTCTGTAATCAGAGCAAGCACACAGCTGAAAGGAAACAACACAGCATGTTCCTGCCCATCACAATTTCTTCTGGGCCAGCCTGTTTTTCCAATTAGCTCATCCTGGCCTTGTCTCCACCATCCTGTACTCTTGTTGCTTTTTGAACTAACGGTGCCAAAGGCTGCCCTTGACTGTTTTTGTCTGCTAAATCTGTTGGCCATCCCTAAAGTAGCAAACACCTTCATGGGTTAGTGGTCAAACTGTGTCAAGAATTTCATTGTGTTGCAAAGCCCTGCTTTGCTGATCCCTGAGTCAGGAAAGAAGTCAGTGGTCCACCACCACCACTTCTCCAGCAGGAAAAAAAAACAGAATTTATGGTTTGGATAAAGTAGACAAGTTTGCGCGCGGATTGAAGTTTCCAATCGCTCAAGTTCTCCAGAACGTTAAAGGAGATCTCACCGTTAACACAACTGTAGGATATTTGTGGGACTCTCAGTCTTCTGGAGTTTGTCTCAATCCTTTCTCGTTTTCCTTTTAGTTTTTGACCAGCTTGATGTAGTGTCTTACGAGGAGGTGGTCCAGCTACCAGCATTTAAGCGGAAAACTTTGGTGCTTATAGGTAATGAAGTCATACCTCTTCTTCAAGCGTTAAATCAATGAATTCCTAAGAAGGATTACTTGCCTACTATAGAAGAATGGACGTTTAAAGTGTCAAATTTAGCAGAAATGGCTAAGATTTCTGCCTATTTGAAGGATCACTCACAAGAAAGATACATTTCGGTTTGGAGAAGATGGATAGATTATATTCAGAATAAATACGGGACTAAAAAGTTCCATTTAGCCTATGAGTAAATTTTAGAGTATTATTAGTATTAATAGTTTATTATAGTGAAATTTTTATTAGTTTTAATTATACTATTACTTTTAGTATTAGTATTGTTTAACAATATGGATATTCCATTGTTTAATAATTAGGGTACTAATTTATGTTTTAATTATTATTATTATATTTATGTTAAAGGGGAGTTAAAGCGCATTATGGACTTGGTTATTTATATAGTTGGTTAATGGTAGTTAGATTATGATTATTATATTTGTAACCCTGTATTCAGCTCTGGGAAGTGGGGGGGGGGGTTAGGATGGGTTGTTTTTGGGGTTTATATTGTAACTTTTATAAAACTTTTCAATAAAAAAAAATGAATTCCTACAATTCTAATGTTTTAGACACCCAAGTTAAGTATCAGAAAAAAAACATACACTTTTTATCCACTCCCACGCTAACAATCGATATATGAAAATGTAGGATTTAAGTTTAAACTCAAGGTGGACAATGTTTCAGACCTTAGAGCTTGCACTGAAAGCAGAGTTTCTTGAAACTAATAGCAGCTTCCAGCCAATAGGATATAGGAAAACAGATAAAAATAACTCTTTGTGGTTCCTGACTTTTTTCCCCCCTTTCTTTTGGATCAGGAGCAAGTGGTGTTGGAAGAAGCCACATTAAGAACACGCTGCTCAACAAATACCCGGAGAAGTTCGGATATCCTGTTCCATGTATGTCTGCCCACAAGAAACCTACTCAATATGTCTCTTTGGGAGGAGACACTAGATCCCTGTTTTTCAAGCTTAGCAACTTGAAGATGTGTGGACTTCAATTCTCAGAATTCCCCAGCTAACAATGCTGGCTGGGGAATTGTGGGAGTTGAAGTCCACACACCTTAAAGTTGCCATTTTGAAAAATGTTGTTCTGGATCCTCCATTGGAAATTTGCCTGGCTCAGAATATGCTTCTTGGCTCTTTCCATCTGCATATTTTTTTAAGTTGGAATGTTTTATCCCACTGTTCTGCTCGCAGAGCTCCTCAAGCCATTATACCCATACAACTCTGATTTGCACTGCAAATAAAATTGGACATGCTATAATTTAGAGGTTTCCTTGGGGAGAACCATTAAGGAAGGGTTTTATTTATTTACTCACCAAATCTATATGCCTTGGAGAAGAGATTATATAGTCCAGCGATAGAAGGTAGTGTAAGAAAGAAACTCAAAATATTTCCACCTTGTTAGCATAAATTGGCACCAAGAAAACTTAAAAGGCTTTCCAAGATTGATGCCAGCCCTCTGAAGTAGGCTTGGTCAAGAAACAAACCTTGCATGGATTCCAAAAACTTTACTGTTTTATTAAAAGGCATATTACCAGAATCTTGAAAGTCTGGAATGGGGTCTCTGTTTTGATCCCCAAAGTCCCTTCCAACTCTGTTGTTGTTATTCTGTCCAGGTTCCTTTCTGTCTAGTCCAGGGGTAGGCAACCTTGGCTCTTTTATGACTCGTGGACTTCAACTCCCAGAATTCCTGAGCCAGCATGGCTCAGCTTGGAAACCTCTCCCTTTTCCCTCAGCATGGCTGGCTCAGGAATTCTGGGAGTTGGCCCACGAGTCATAAAAGAGCCAAGGTTGCCTAACCCTGGTCTAGTCTGATACTGAACAGAATCAAGGTGGAGTTATTTTGAATTTCTTTCTCACTCTTCCTTCTATCTCTGGACTGTACAATTGCTTCTCCATCTCTCTCTTTAATGCTCTCTCATGCATTCTCCAAGGCCACTTCTAAACTACTTAAAAATATGGAAGTCTGTGTCTTTTTTTATCTAGGGAAAAAAGAATAAAAGGCTTAGTTGGGATGGTGGGGAAAGTTTGGTAGCTACCTCCAGAGGTTGGACTGGCCATATTCACCCTACCCAAATTCCATACGTGCCCAGCAATTAGTTGCCAAGCCTGGTTGAACTGGTATTTCCATCTCGTTCCCCAGGTTCTTGAGTCACAAATTTTCCCGTGTATTTGGACTCAGGAACACAAATATGAGGACCTCTTGGGTTCACCCATCTCCACGTAGATGCAACAATTCACTTAATCGCACCTCCCAAATTATTCCATAATTTGAGCAGATGCTATGGGGACCCACCTCCTTACAGTTTTTTGTCATGTTGCGCTGATTTTCACAGATACCACTCGGCCCCAAAAGAAGAATGAAGAGGATGGGAAGAACTATCACTTTGTCTCCACAGAAGACATGACAAAAGAAATCTCGGCTAACGAGTTCCTGGAATTTGGAAGTTACCAGGGCTACATGTTTGGCACCAAATTTGAGACTTTGCACAAGATCCATCAACAGGGCAAAATTGCAATCCTGGACATTGAGCCTCAGGTAGGAAGAGGCCTGTCACTCATCTGTTTAATCAACAGGCACCCTTCTACTTCTTGCACTAAGAGAAAATAAAGAGGGCAAAAATGTAAATTTCATAAATGCGGAAGGAGCAGAGACAAGTGAGCCAAGACAAAGGACAGAAGTAAATCTTTCCATATTCTTCAATCAGGGGGTACCTTGCTCAATAGTAGTAACTGTGAGAGGGACCTCGCAGACCTAGTGGACAATCTCTTAAATATGAGCCAGCCGTGTGCTGCAGCTGCCAAAAAGGCCAACACAGTGCTAGGCTGCATTAACAGAGGGATAGAATCAAGATCACGTGAAGTGTTAGTACGGTTTTATAAAGCCTTGGTAAGGCCACACTTGGAATACTGCATCCAGTTTTGGTCACCACGATGTAAAAAAGATGTTGAGACTCTAGAAAGAGTACAGAGAAGAGCAACAAAGATGATCAGGGGACTGGAGGCTAAAACATATAAGGAACGATTGCTGGAATTGGGTATGTCTAGTTTAACGAAGAGAAGGACGAGGGGGGACATGATAGCAGTGTTCCAATATCTCAGGGGCTGCCCCAAAGAAGAGGGAGTCAAGCTATTCTCCAAAGCACCTGAAGGCAGGACAAGAAGCAACGGATGGAAACTAATCAAGGAGAGAAGCAACCTAGAGCTAAGGAGAAACTTCCTGGCAGTTAGAACAATTAACCAGTGGAACCACCTGCCTCCAGAAGCGGTGAATGCTCCAACACTGGAAGTTTTTAAGAAGAGACTGGACAGCCATTTGTCTGAAATGGTATAGGGTTTCCTGCCTAAGCAGGGGGTTGGACTAGATGACCTCTAAGGTCCCTTCCAACTTTATTATTACTATTACTATTATTATTAGCCGAAAGTGGTCCAAAACTCCTTTAGAAATTGACATACCATGTATCAGTTGGTACTGTAAAGCAAATTGAGTATGCACCAGTCAAGGGAAGACCACCACTTTCCTTTGTATTATCCTTAACTCTGTAATTTCTATTCAGATAAATATTTTAAGAGGTTAGAATCAAGAATAGAATCACTTTATTAAGCAGGCATGGAAATTAATCACCTCCAAGCTCTACCTTGACAGTCCTAGGCAGTCCCATTATAACTCAGGGAAATAGGCTATCTTTTTGATTTAAGGCAAAAATTTACTCTCTCCCTCTTCCTTTTGACAGACACTGAAAATCATCCACACTGCCGACTTTTCTCCTTTCGTTGTGTTCGTTGCTCCTCCAAAGCAAGCTGATCAGGTACCTGGTGGTGGGCCCTTAATGTGAAATTATGAATGCTTTTGGGGGGTTAATGAAGAAGCCTCTCATCCTTAACATTTAGTTCTCTTACGCAGTTTTTTGCCCAAGTCTTCACCTATGGCAGTGATGGCGAACCTTTTAGAGACCGAGGGCCCAAACTGCAACCCAAAACCCATTTATGCATCGAGTGCCGGGTGGGTGTGGCCCATTGGCTGGGCGTGGCCAATCGGGTGGGCGTGGCTGCGGTGGTAACGGCAGACTGGGTGGGACTAAAAAGTTCAATCAATCAATTCCAACTTTGCAAGATCTTTTTTTTTCCAGCAAGAAGTTGAAATTGACTGAACCTTTTTTTTTTTTTGTACATGGCGGCGGAGGCCTAAAGCGAAAAGGTTTTATAAAACCCAGCTGAAGGCCTAGGACTGGGGCGACGGCGCACGTGCCCACAGAGAGGGCTCTGAGTGCCGCCTCTGGCACCCGTGCCATAGGTTCGCCACCACTGACCTAGGGGGTTGCTAGGTGCATGCAGAGATGTGGCTATCTGAATTTCAGCAGCTCTGGGTATAGAATCTAAAACCTCTTAGTTGTTGTGATTTTTGGAAAGATTTTTGTGTCAACCATGACTTAAGTTGAGTAAAACCATGTAGAGGTGTGGTGTGGGTCTATACATATGTTGTATATAGTATGTTTAGGTGTGTGTCATGTATGTTTCACTTTAAGAGCGGGCAACTAAATTTCATTTTTGATGTGTGCCGTTGTGCCCACAGTAAAAAAAAATGACAGTAAAGGTTATCTTAAAAAAAAATACACATGCGGATTATTTAGAAAGTCGAAACCTTTTGTTTTCTTCAAATCAAATACAAGTAACCCTCAACTTACAACTGGATGCTTAGTGACTGTTAGAAGTTGCAACAGCCGCCTCCCCCCAAAGGTACTTATACCCTTGTTCTGAAATTTTGATAGCCACCCCCTTCAGTTGTGTGTCCACATTGCGGATACTTGGCAACCAGCCCACATTTACCTGTTTTTTGCCATTATGGTTGTTAAGCCAAGGGCAACCTGTTATAATTTTTTACGTCAATTAGAAAAGCATCTGTAGATAGAAAAGACAGAGAGAAGAGTTGGCTCTTAAGGCTGACGATCTTAACTTTTTTTGGTTGAGCATCTTGTCTTTACGGTAATGTCAAGAAGAGTTTGGGCGAAATATCTGCATGCTGTGCCGTGACCTAATCCTTGTGATTTTCTTTCTCTACAGATGGAAACCTTGCAGCAACTTCAAAAGGACACAGAGGCCATCCGGAGCAGATACGCCCATTACTTTGATTTGGTGCTGGTGAACAATGGGGTTGACGAGAGCCTTGAACACCTGCAGGCAGCGTTTGAGCGGGCATGCAGCTCCCCACAGTGGGTGCCAGTCTCCTGGGTGTATTGAGCTGGCAGCACCCATTTAGGCCACCTCATTGCAGCATGTTGAGGACAATCTTCCCTGCTCCATGCTTCTGCCCAATACGCAACCTTCTTGGAGCTGCACCGTTGCCTGTTACTTCCCAGCTGCAAAAAAAACATCCTTAGAAGAGCATCTATGGATGCAGCTTGCCCCTCTTTTGTTCTCTATTTCCATTTATTTGCAGATGTTAGCAGCAGGGGACAGTCTTAACAATACTCCTCTTCCACTACCAATAAGGTTTTAAACAGGGATACTAAAAACACGTTCTGCGCAAAAGCCATAAACGCCATGAATGTTAAGAGCCGTGTTTTAACTCAACACATTTTCCTAGTTTTTCTTTTCCCCGCCCCGCTTGTGATAGAGGCGTCTTTCAAACCTCTGCATGGATGAGATTTACTCCTTCACTCATCCTTTTTGGGAAGGGAACTGTGAACTGATGTTGAACGTCCCGATTTGAGTGTTCTTTTGCCTCCGTTACGAAAGTATTTGTTCTACACTACACCGAAGCACACCACCGGGGGGGGGGGGGTATGGCCCTCAAATAACTACCTTTGTAACAGGGATAAACAGGAGGGAGCATGGCTGACCATGTGTTAAATCTCATGCTCTTCTTGAGGATGCCAAAAATAGACAAATGTGCAATAGAAACATTCGGTTGAATCCATTACAGGGAAAATTTAACAAGCAGCAATAAAGTCTGATTCAAAAATGCGACTGGTTCACCTTACTGTCTGTACCCATCTTTTATGAAAAACTGGAAACTGAAGGCTGTAGGAGAGGCGTGTCAGATCATGGTGGAAGAGAACCGAATGCGGTAGCAAAATGAATGGACTAACCAATTTTTATTAAATGGCAGAAACTGCTGAAAGCGGATGAAATGGATCTGATGAGATAGGACGCAGCTTGCGGAGTCCAAGGGATGCTATCAAACTTCTGAAAAAAGTGGAGAATAGTTCCTCTTGGTTAAGGCACATTGCAAATTAGCTCAACCCGCAATTTAAGATGGGTGGACTTCAACTCCCAGAATTCCCAGACAGCACACGCTGAATTCATTACATCATGAAAACTATGGCAATGCTACCACTCTCTTCTCAGCCATAGGACTACAATGAATCTTGCCGATGAAATAAAGGCAGTCCTTATCTAATGGCCAGTTGCTTGGCGACTATTTAAAGTTACAACAGATCTCTCTCTCTCCCCCCCCTTCCAAAAGGTACTGATGACCTGGCTTCTGGAGTTTTAATAGTCCTCTTGTAGTCACATGACTTCATTTTGGGTGCTTGGCAACTGGCTGGCCTTTCTAACCAGTTGTGGTGCTCCATAGTTAACGTGACACATTTTTTTGTGTGTGTGTGTGTGCTAAAAACGGATCTTTTCTGCCCCCCAAAAATGCCCATAGAAATATATTGACTTGCTTAATAACTCTGGCGTTTCTTTAACCACCATTGTGAAAAAAAGCAGTAAAATTGGGTTGTGGGTGTCTCAACTTACGATGGAAATTCCAGGCTCCATTATGGTAGTAATTCGAGGATTAACACTATACTCTTGAGAATGGCAATCAGGAAAATAGTACCAATTCTTCCTGCCTCTCTATGTCAAGATGTCAACTGTTGCCAGTTCCTTCCTTGGGTTTTGCAGTATTGCAGCCCAGCCCAAAGAAAGCAGATTCGAAATCAGATATGTAAACTTTTAATTAGAAAAGTAGAATTGATTATTCTGCCTAGAAAGGGAGAGCTGGGTAAGACAGGACTAGCTCATCCTGCTGGGTATGGTGATGTCTCTACTACAACGGCGATCACAGAGATATGATTTGCAACCCTCTTCTGGGGACTGTTTGGGAAGGGAGTAAAAACATGGAGAAAAATAAATTCTGAATTCTGCTCTTGAGTTAGGCCAGACGGAACTAACAAAAGCTTTAGACCCAAGTGGGGAAGGCCTAGACCAGGGGTAGGCAACCTTGGCTCTTTTATGACTCGTGGACTTCAGCTCCCAGAATTCCTGAGCCAGCATGGCTCAGCATGGAAACCTCTCCCTTTCCCCTCAGCGTGGCTGGCTCAGGAATTCTGGGAGTTGAAGTCCACGAGTCATGGGGGGGCTATAGTTCCCCCATACTGGCTCAGGAATTCTGGGAGTTGAAGTCCATGAGTCATAAAAGAGCCAAGTTTCCTATCATCTAGGCCAGAGGTAGGCCACCTTGGCTCTTTTATGACTCGTGGACTTCAGCTCCCAGAATTCCTGAGCCAGCATGGCTCAGCATGGAAACCTCTCCCTTTCCCCTCAGCGTGGCTGGCTCAGGAATTCTGGGAGTTGAAGTCCACGAGTCATAAAGCGGCCTAGGCCTAGGCCAGAGGTAGGCAACCTTGGCTCTTTTATGACTCGTGGACTTCAACTCCCAGAATTCCTGAGCCAGCATGGGGGAACTATGGCCCCCTCATGACTCGTGGACTTCAACTCCCAGAATTCCTGAGCCAGCCATGCTGAAGAGAAATTGAGAGGTTTCCAAGCTGAGCCATGTTGGCTCAGGAATTCTGGGAGTTGAAGTCCACGAGCCATAAAAGAGCCAAGGTTGCCTACCCCTGGTCTAGACTTAGTTCTTAAGGGAATCAAGGCAAGTAGGGGGGGGGGGGGGACACCAGAAAAAGAAAAGGTTACAAAAACATTTTAAAAGGAAGCATCTGACAATATCAGGCTTAACTGATTTCTCCTCTTAATTAATCTTCACCAACCTTCAGCAGCTCTTCGGGCTGATAGGCATAGGAAGAGGGTTGCTAACCGTGCCAAGACCGAATATCGCCATCTCCCAGGTAGCACTCTGAAAGTCCCAAGGACCAGGGAAGCGAGTCTGCTGCCTCAATTATCTGAAACTATCCTTAGAACAGGACAGAGAGGGGGTGCCACACTTGGCTCCCCCCCCAAATAATTTGCACAGCAATCAGGACACGCCTCTACACGCTGCTCCAGTCTGCATTTTTTTTTGTCTGTCTGCGAAGGCCTTTGCGTTTTTCCTTCCCAAACTGGTCCAGGCTGCTGGCTCGGGATGGCAGTGAGGGAGTTATTCAGAGCTCTCCTCTACTTCTTCTCGTTTCTTCTTCTTCTTTTTCTTTTTCACGCTCAGATCACTGACCTGGGGGGGGGAGGGGGGGGAAGAAGAGAAGAGCTCAAAAAAAGAAAAGAAAAAAGATCCGAATTCCTGTCCCTCTTTTCTGGAGAACCCAAAGATTCCAATGTTATTTCCAAGAAGATTTAGTTCCCACGAATGCCAGCTAAAGGAATTTGAAGGTATATCGTGCAAGGTTTTTAGTCTGGCACAGCAATTTAAAAAAACCAAAACATTGTGTTAATTGTTGTGCCTCCCTTTTATTGCTGGATATATCCGATGCTGCTCTGGATACGCACGCCTTACTCTTGTGAATGGGCCGTCCCAGGTAAAATCTGTCACATCCCACGACGATATTTGCAGCCGTTTTAAGCGGGTTATAGAACCGTTTTGCTTTCCATACACTTTTCCAGCATTTGTGCATCAGGCTAAACCACCAAAAAATTTACCAAGGTGGTATGAAAATGCTGTACAGGTAGTCTTTGATTTATGACCGCTCATTTAGTGACTAACTGAAGTTCTGACAGACCTCCCTGGCGATACTTAGAACCCTGGATTCAAAATGCTGATGATCGCCTTAGCAACCAGGCAGCATTTACAGGTTTGTATTTCACAATATTTTGGCAAAAACATGCCCAGAGCAATTTTTTATAATAATAATAATAATAATAATAATAATAATAATAATAATAATAATAATAAAAAGTTGGAAGGGACCCTGGAGGTCATCTAGTCCAACCCCCTGCTCAGGCAGGAAACCCTATGCCATTTCAGACAAATGGCTGTCCAGTCTCTTCTTAAAAACTTCCAGTGTTGGAGCATTCACCGCTTCTGGAGGCAGGTGGTTCCACTGGTTCATTGTTCTAACTGTCAGGACGTTTCTCCTTAGTTCTAGGTTGCTTCTCTCCTTGATTGGTTTCCATCCGTTGCTTCTTGTCCTGCCTTCAGGCGCTTTGGAGAATAGCTTGACTCCCTCTTCTTTGGGGCAGCCCCTGAGATATTGGAACGCTGCTATCATGTCCCCCCTGGTCCTTCTCTTCATTAAACTAGACATACCCAATTCCATCAACCTTTCCTCATATGCTTTAGCCTACAGTCCCTTGATCATCTTTGTTGCTCTTCTCTGTACTCTTTCTAGAGTCTCAACATCTTTTTTACATCGTGGTGACCAAAATTTATTTGTTCATTAAACGACCACTACAAAAAAAAAAAAAATGTAAAATGGGGTCTGTCATNGGGGAACTATGGCCCCCTCATGACTCGTGGACTTCAACTCCCAGAATTCCTGAGCCAGCATGAGGGAACTATGGCCCCCTCATGACTCGTGGACTTCAACTCCCAGAGTTCCTGAGCCAGCATAGGGGAACTATGGCCCCCTCATGACTCGTGGACTTCAACTCCCAGAATTCCTGAGCCAGCCATGCTGAGGGGAAAGGGAGAGGTTTCCAAGCTGAGCCATGCTGGCTCAGGAATTCTGGGAATTGAAGTCCACCAGTCATAAAAGAGCCAAGGTTGACTACCCCTGGCTTAGGAGAAGAAAACAGGGGCCGTGGATTCACCAGCCAGAGGAGAACTGAATGGTCCCGGGTGGATCAGAGATCAGTTGGCAGCTATGTTGATCGCCCTTCCCATAGTCAAAATCCCACGGGGAATAAGACAGCAGCAGTATTTGTACAGATAACCAGAAATATATGAAAGCCGTAACGGTGATGCAAATGGCCCATGCGCTCATCTTTCTTTTAGAAGCCTCCGCTTTCAACTTAGTAACAAAAGTACCACTCTCTGTCCACAAAGAGGCAAGATACTGATACAGATAGTCCTCGACTTACGTTTCATTTAATGAGTGATTGAAGTTACAACGGGACTGAAAAAAAGTGATTTATGACCATCGTTCACTTGCAACTGTTACAGCATCCTCATGGTCGCATGATCAAAACGCAGGACTCTTGGCAACTGGCTTGTATTTATGGATGGTTGCAACATCCCGGGGATCACGTGATCCCCTTTGGCGACCTTTTGATGGACAAAGTCAACGGGGAAGACAGATTTCACTTAGGTTCACCAGGTTACTAGGTTTAGGTTACTAACTGAACAACTGCAACGATCCACTTAACACAGGCGGCACGAAAACGTCACAAAATCAGGCAACCTCTCCCACACTTAGCTACTGTCTCACTTAACAGAAATTTTGGGCTCCAGCGTGCTGGTAAGTTGAGGACTTGTCGTACAGATCTTTGCAGTAAATAAACCAACCTTGGGCATCCTCACTGCCGGCTCTTGAACCTCTTCTGGCTCCGTCTTCTCTTCGACTTCCTTCTTTACCGAAACCCTGTGAAGAGGCAGGCGTTTAATTTGCACTTTCCCTTCAAGTAATGTGAAGGGCCAGTCTTCCCTGCTCTGCCCCATTTTTACCCCAAAGGGGAAAAGCGATGTCTGGAATGGCTGGCGTAGACCCCCACGGGCAGAGAGCCACAGAACAGCTTTCCCGGATTCATATAGCAGGCTGACTCCCTCTAGAGCCACGGAAGGCAGGCAAAAAAGGGATAACTGCCTGCTAACCCAAAGCAGCAAAGAGGACGCGCTCCATCCGCAGCGCCTTCCCACTTTTCCTAGCGCAGTGATGGCGAACCTTTTAGAGACCGAGTGCCCAAACTGCAACCCAAAACCCACTTATTTATCGCCGGGTGCCAGGTGGGCGTGGCCCACTGGATGGGCGCGGCTGTGGTGGTCATGGCAGACTGGGTGGGTGTGGTCACCTCGATGTTGCTCGTGGGGAGGGACGCCTGTGGGGGCCAGGAAGGGTTGGGGGAGATCCAGGGGGTCTCTGGCAGATGGGCAGTGGGCAGGAGGCTCATCCTGAGGGGTGAGGCGAGGCAATGCGAGGTAGGGCGGGGGTACCATTGTGGCAGGGCAAGGCGAGGCAGGGGCCGGGGCGGCTGCTGCCTGACACCATTGGCCCCCGCACAGAGAGGCCAGCGAGCGCATGAGGGCCGACAATGTCCGTCAGCAGCCACAGCCTGCCGGCCCGTCGACCGGCACACTCTGGGGCTCCCCAGCCTGCCCCCAGCAGTTCAGAGAAGCCGCCTCTGAGCTAGACGGCCGGCCGACAGCTGAGGAGGCGATGCAGTGGGTCGTGCCTGGGAAAAGGAGAGCATGCGAGGCCAGGAGGGATGGGAGGGGGGAGGGAAACCAGCCATGCTGGGATGCATCTGGCCACGTGGGACCTCGGCAAGTTAGCAGGTGGCTGGTTGAAGAGGGACAGTTGCCATCTCCAGGGCATGGTGCGCGTGCCCACAGAGAGGGCTCTGAGTGCCACCTCTGGCACACGTGCCATAGGTTCGCCACCACTGTCCTAGCGCGACTGAGTTAATTGGCCAGAAACCAGCGTGTCTTAAAACCGGTGCACAGCCATCGTTACCTGTTATAATCCACGTAGTCATTTTTCCAAGCTTGTGGGGTTTTTTCGTTAGGCTTGCCGCGAGCATCCAATAATCCTTGCTTGATCATCATCTTCTTCTGAGAAGCCTGGGGAGAAATGAGGAGACCGTTGAATTTCTGCATTGCCTTTGTCTGGTAACGCCGTGCAATCAGGTCCCACCGCTCTGAAATAGAAACCAAACTGCCATCCCATTTGAAGGCGGTGAGCCCCACAGGTAAAAAGGGATGTCAAAAAGGGCAGGGTGGCTTATGTGAGCCGAAACCTCCAACTGTTGCATGCCCAGTCTATGGTGGAGAGCCATCAGTTTTGGGTGATAGATGGGTGTCATCTTTGCACAGAGCGCTCATCGAGCTATTTTAAACATCATTTGGCTCGCCAGAAAGATTTCGCGCCAAGGGCTGCTGCTCGAACTGAGTCAAGCTTAAGAGCGTTCAAAACTTAAAAGGAAATCCCTGTTAAAAATCCAGGGAAAAAAGAGAGAGCGAACTCTGACGATGCCAGCGCCCTCAAGTCCATCTCTAAAGGCCTGGAAAGTGGATGACCCAGTGGGTCCCTTATATCTGGACAGTTCTGTGGCTCTGTTAGACAGAATTGCTACACAGAACCAAAACTCCTTCTCTTTAGAATCCAATAAAAGAGAATATTTGTAGCTCATGTTGAACTACGGGGTTCTGGTGCTCTCTGCGCTCAGCTCTTTTCTTGCAGACATTTTATTACCTGACTAAGTAACGTCATCATCATCGGAGGGTGGGTATTTTAACTCTGCGAGAAAACAACCAAGTTTAGAGAGCACTAAGGACCCCCCAGTCTTCAGAATCCTTCAAAGGCAAGTATAGCCAAGGGCTCCCCAAAACTTACTTTCGGACCAAGCCCCCACTTGCGAGGATAGGTGTCTCTTTCCATGATCACACGCTTGATCTTTGCTACAACTCCATGGTCACAGGTAGAGATCACCGCCGTTGTCATCAAAGCAATAGCTGAAGAAAACGGAGAAAGAAAAGCTGAGTATTCCTCAGTAAATCTGTCTTTACACCACCTCAAGAGTTACCTCTGCAAATGCAAATCAATTTGGGCTTAGCAAACCCCAAGCGGTTTAATTCTCTGCTTGAACTTGCGGAGCAGAAATACCAGAATTTTCTTTCCTTAAGGTAGTCTTATTACACCCTTTCTTCCTGGTGTCCTATCTTGAAAGGATTCTGTCTCTAGAACAGTGGTTCTCAACCTTTTTAATGGCGCAACCCCCCAACCGGTCGTAAGTCGAGGACTAAACCGGTCGTAAGTCGAGGACTACCCAACCGGTCGTAAGTCGAGGACCGCGCATGAGCACCGCGCATGCGCGGTTCCGCCCCCTGCGCCGGCCGAGGTTTAGCTGGCAAGTGGCAGAGACGGAGCAGACCGACCACCAGCTGGCCCAGCTCAAGGGAGGTAAGGCGCCCGCCAGAAAAGGGGGAAAAAATGGCGGACAGCCTTGCTTGGCGACCCCCGTGAAATGGTCGATTGACCCCAAATGGGGTCGCGACCCATAGGTTGAGAACCGCTGGTCTAGAAAGCAGATATTTTTCCCTTCTGAATTTTCACGTGGGAAACACACCAACGCACGCAAGCACGAAGGAAGAGATCGTGCCGAGAAAAAAAACACCCCAAGCTGTGCAGGAGTATCTATTATTATTTTTTTCTGCATTTCTGCGCTTAGGATTCGTCACTGTAGAAAGGCGTCTCAGAGCAAAATGTGATCAGACGGCTTCATTCTTCTTTGTTGAGTCAGGCCCCAGAGGAAAGGGGTCTGGCCCTGCTTCCTCTGCCCAGGTCCCAGTCAGCAGCCAGCCAAACATCCCCCACAACTTTCAGTAGAACACTGGAAGCCTGGAAGGTGTTTAGAAGCCACGGAACATCGAGGCTGCAGAAACTGAAGCCTCAACGCGACAGGAAGGGCAGAGCGAGCCGCACTCAGAGAATGGATAAACGTCATCATCATTTCACATACAGCCCTGAGCAAACGCAGGTGGATGCTGAGAACACGTTTCGAAGATGCGCAAGGACACACAAAGCAGGGCCACGGTTGTAGGGCCACGTTTTGTGAGAATCTCATTTCTGATCTACAGGAAATGCATCTCTTCACCAGCCATAAGTCCTGTAATTTCCCTGTCATGCCACAGCACCAGAGACGCGTTTACTTTGTCCAGAACAAATGCCCAGCAAAGTAAAATTTATAGCATCGTTTTAAGTGATCTCTGCGGTTGCCCTTTTCTATCCCAAAGCAGGCAAACACGAGATTAACCCCCCATTCTATCATGCCCAATTCTTGGAGATTGCCAGGACAAGTTCCTGCAGTTTTCCTGGCATGGTTTTTCTGAAGTTGTTTGCCATTGCCTCCCTCCTAGGGCTGAGAGTGTGTGGCCGGCCCAAGATCATCCAATTGGCTTTGTGCCGAAGGCAGAACTAGAACTCCTATTCACCCATTTTCTAGCCTGATGCCTTACCCACTAAACCAGTGGTTCTCAGCCTTTTTAATGCCGCGACCCCAACCGGTCGTAAGTCGAGGACTAAACCGGTCGTAAGTCAAGGACTAAACCAGTCGCACGTCGAGGACTACCCAACCGGTTGTAAGTCGAGGACTTTCCCTGCCCGGGAGCGCCACGCATGCGTGGTTCCGCCCCCTGCGCCGGCCGAGGCGTAGCTGGTAAGCGGCAGAGACAGAGCAGGCCGACCACCAGCTGGCCCAGCACAAGGGAGGTAAGGCCCCCTCTGGAAAAGGGGAAAAATGGCGGACAAAAAAAATGGCGGACAAAAAAATGGCGGACAGCCTTGCTTGGCGACCCCTGTGAAATGGTCGATCGACCCCAAATGGGGTCCCGACCCACAGGTTGAGAACCACTGCACTAAACCAAACTGGCTCTCTAAAGTTAATATATATTTTTAGAGATCTAATTACTTTTCTACCAGGGAACTTCTAAGTAGCATATGTAAAAGAAAGTAATTTAAACCCCACAATAAAGCAATTATTTGTCACTAGCTCCCTGTAATTTGTCTGTGATTTGCATTGCTAACAAGTCTGTCCATCAGAAGAGCAACTGCAGAAAACAAATTTTCTTCCCATTCTCACCTAGGCAGATAGCCTCCCCTTTTGTGGTGATCACCACGATCTCCTGGTTGACTTCAATCCCGTCGTCATACCGCAGTAATCCAGGAAGCATGATCTTCGCGCCATAGCAAATTGCATTCACCTGAACGAAAAGCAGTGACTAGCTTAGTGGGGAATTCCACATTTCAACCCAAACTGCTCCTCTGGATTTCAAACTCTCGCAAAACACGCGACCCCCCCGCTGCCTTTCAAAGCGGCGAACGTTGTGCACAAGGAGCAACAGACAAAAGCTACAACATTCCGTCTCGCCTTCATTAATTCGGCAGCGCTTTTCGTTCCCGAAAACACGCTTGACGGTTATACCGTGTTAGGCTCAAGAAAATGAACAGGGCCGCTTCGAAGAAAAGGCCTGCTGCAGCACAAAGAATTTTTAGCTTCCCTTAAAATGCATAATTTACATAAACAGGTTTGAACTTATTTCAGATTTTAAGTGACCCGACTCGGGAAACTAGTCGTCTGTAAAAAGTAATAATAATAATAATAATAATAATAAAAATACTGATTCCATCTCTGGCCTGGAAGCAATCCCAGGCACAAATTAATTATTTATCCACTGAATGTACATTGTGCTGTTTCATGTACAAGGTTAAAACAGCCTACAATCAACTGCCTCCTCTTGTTCATTCTTTTAACCCAGGGCCTTTCAACCTTTTCACCCATTGTACCACTTTTAAGGATATGGCAACATCCGAGTACCACCAGTCGCCTAGCAAGGTGTCAAAAACATGAGCAAAAAAAAAAAAAAAAGGAAAAAGGAAAAAAGTGATAAAGTACAGGTAATCCTCAACTTACAACAATTCGCTTAGTGACTGTTTGAAGTTACAATGACGCTGAAAAAAGTGCCCCCCAAGCCACAGCAGAGCAAGACACTTGCCTGCCCGCCCAGCAGCGCTCTTCCTCCTGTCCGAGGTTTTCATTGTTGTGAGCATTTCTGTTGAGGATTGGCAGCGGGGGTGGGGTGGGGTTGTTTGGTTTTTATTCCCCCCGTCTGCTGGGTGGTTGCAGCAGGTTTTGGTCACTTCACATGACCCTGGGACACTGTGACCGTCATAAATATGAATCAGTTTCCAAGCATCTGAATGTAAAACACAAGACCCTGGAGATGCTGCAACATTCCAGCTCATCGGCGCTTCTTCTGGGCTCAGCAGAAGCGCCAGGATCAGCGCCGAGCTCCAGCTGGAGCCTGGCGCTGATCCTGGCGCTTCCGCTGAGCCCTGACAGCCCTGCAGCTCCAGCCATCTCTCGCTCAGGCTTGTGAGGTGCTGCCACTGGTTCAGCTCATTCCCCTCCCCCACTACAACTTTTCTAGGATGGTCGCGTACCACCTGCCAGGTGCCAATGTACCACAGGTGGTACCCGTACCACTGGTTGAAAAGCCCTGTTTTAAGCAACGCCCTGGCAAGATAGACCAGCCTGAGCCAGAGCGACTACAGCTCTAAGTTAGAGCAACGCCATCGGTGCAAATGGAGAGGACTCACCGCACTATCTTTCATAACAAGCCGTTTGTGTGAAACCAACAACTTCTCCAAGGGGAAGATCACTCTCCGGAGGTAACTCTCGTCCTTGTTGTTGTCATACTGCCACTGAGCATCCAGCACATCGTGCATGGTCACCATGTGGTCCTAGAAGCAGATCTCTCTTAAGTTGGAAGTTTTCCACACATAAGATACATAGCACTAACACGCAGGCGTGTTATTAAACGTTTTAAAAACAAAGGTTAAAAACCGATGCAAACTAAAATAACTAAGGGAGAGAGAAAAAATCAGAAAGCTAAAAGAGTAAGTAAGTAGGAGAAAAATAGGGGAAAAAATACACTGATTTCCAATGTTGTTTACAGCAGTTATAATTACACTTAGTTCTTTCTCTAAAGTCACATTGTGACTTTCTTATCATCTATCCTATCTCATTATCAAAACCATAAATCCTAAGTACATTTTTTTGTTTTGTGCAAAAAAAAAAAGCCCATAAGGGGTTTTCAGTCAGCAATAAAGATATTGTCTTTTTTTTCCAGCTGGATCCGGAATCTGTTCTGACCAAGTATCACATTTTTCTGCATTTTAAAGGCCTTGCAATAACAGGCGCTCCCAAAGGCAAGCCAGAGCTGCATTAAAAGCATCGGGGAAGATTTTTAAGAAAAAGATAAAGTTTAAACCACAGATATTTTTGTTGGGTATTGTGGAAGATTTGGATGTAAAAGAAATGGAGTTGATGCTGAATCTTCTAACTGCTGCAAGATTATTAATTGCTCAGTTTTGGAAAATGAAATGTTTACCCACTATAGAAGAATGGGTATTTAAAGTCTCAAACTTAGCAGAAATGGCCAAGATTTCCGCTTATGTGAAGGATTACTCAAAAGAAAGATATATATTGGTTTGGAGAAGATGGATTGATTATATTGAGTTTAAATATGGAACAAAAACATATCATTTGGTTTTTGAATGAATTTTAGAGTATTATTTTTGTTTAAAAGTTATGTTATTTAGTTTTATTTTTAATATTCAAAATTATGTTATTATTATGGTATTTAATAATTGTATATTTGTTTTAAAAGAGAGCTAAAGGAAGTTATAGATTTGTTAGATTAATAGTTGATTAATGTTAGTTAGATTATGATTATTTTACTGTTAACCCTGTGATTGGCTCTGGGAAGTGAGGGGGGGAGGGATGGAGGGTTGGGTTTGGGGGAAGGGGGGATTTATATTGTAAAATTTTATAAAATTTTCAATTAACAAAAAAAAAAAAAGCATGAGGGAAGAACAACTAGTTCTATCACCTCATTTACTCACAGGGGGAACTAAGGCACTTACGTGAGCATTGGTGCAAACCCACCAAACGACCACAATTCTTTGTGCACCTTAAGAACCACTATAGCTCTAGGTAACAAAATTTACACATCCTCTTTCAAGGCCCAACAGAGACTCCACTTCCTCAGGGTTTTGCGGAAGAACAGGGTAGAACGATGACTCGTGACCTTCTTCTACCGGTCTACTATTGAAAGCGTTCTCACACACTGTATTGTGGTTTGGTATGCTGGTGTCATGTGTCTGAGTAACGAAACACTTAAAAGGACTTTCAGGCATGTTTTCTCCTAAAAGCATTTATTAAGATTACAATACGTCAGCATAGCATGGTGGAATGCTTAGGTCTGCTTCTCTTCTGTTATGCATAACATTCCAAGCATTTTCCACTCCCTTATTGTAAGGTCATGGTTCACATCTTCCAATCAACTTGGAAGATGTGATTTACTTCCGGTTTCTTTCTCCNGGGCTATCCTTATGCTCCTCCCTCTTTCCCAGTTGCTGGTTTAACTATATATATACCAGACAGTTCTGCACATTGTCAAAGCAAGAATATACAGTATTTGCAGCGTTGACAGCTGGCTTGACAGCCGCGGACAGGAAGGTATTACAGAGGGTGGTGAGGACGGCACAAAACATCGTGGGCTGTTCCCTGACACCACTGGATGACATTGCCAGGGCCCGTTGCCTTGGTAAAGTGAGGAAAATTCTCAGGGATGACTCACACCCTGGTTGGTACCTCTTTACTCTCCTACCATCAGATAGGCGATATAGAAACATAGCCAGCTGTACCAACAGGCAGAAGACCAGTTTTTATCCATGGGCTGTCAGGATCTTGAACGGGACATAATTTTGTGCACGACAGACTCGTGAGGCCAGCATGCTGTGCAATTAGCTCACAGGGTGTAATAAGTTGGGGGCTTGTAGTCACTGTGAGTTGTGGTGGTGGGAGGCACGGAGGGAGGCTAAGCCTTCAAAGCATTTACAGTCTGGGACACTCCACATCGTCCATCTCACTTGGATGCTTCATAATATTGTGGGCTGAGAGAGGCGCCTGGCAGAAAAATGAAACTTCCTACCCCAACATCTCCCAACTATTTGCTGTCCCAAAGTTTAATTACCAGAACAGGGAGGAAACCCTGAACTGAACTCAACCCTTTGGGTCGCTAAAGCCACCTGCTTGGAAGGTCACCTTTGGACCCACCTTCTCTCCCATGACCCCAGACCGCACTCGCCGGAGCTCCTGCATTTGACCACCGACGCCCAGCAACAAGCCCAGATGGACGCAAAGTGTTCGGATGTAGGTTCCGGCTTCACAGCTCACCCAGAAGATACCTGGAAAGGGAGAAGAAAAAGCTGATGCCAAAGAGAAGACGAGCAACGTTGCCGGTAAGGATCTGAGCAGGCTCTTTTCCATCCAAGCCATCAGGATTGGGTGATAGATGAAACGTCATCTTTGCCCAAGATGGGCTATGTCATCATTTTCTACATCATTTGGCTCAGGAAAATGCTAATGGTGGGAAGGACAGCAAAGCTACTGAAAAAGGCAGATTTGGAAGGCTGAGCTGGAGGGAAAGGGAAGCTGCAAGAAGGAACAGGAATTGGGTATGTCTAGTTTAACGAAGAGAAGGACGAGGGGGGACATGATAGCAGCGTTCCAATATCTATGGGGCTGCCCCAAAGAAGAGGGAGTCAAGCTATTCTCCAAAGTGCCTAAAGGCAGGACAAGAAGCAACGGATGGAAACTAATCAAGGAGAAAAGCAACCTAGAACTAAGGAGGAACTTCCCGACAGTTAGAACAATTAACCAGTGGAACAACCTGCCTCCAGAAGCGGTGAATGCTCCAACACTGGATGTTTTTAAGAAGAGACTGGACAGCCATTTGTCCGAAATGGTGTAGGGTTTCCTGCCTGAGCAGGGGGTTGGACTAGATGACCTCCAAGGTCACTTCCAACTTTATTATTATTATTATTATTAGCCCGACCCCAAAAGGGCCAGCCCTCCCCCCTCCCTGTCTGGGAAAAAAAGGGCGCCATTACCCAGTCTTCTTTCTGGATCATATTCAACCAGTTTGCTTTCATAAATGGTTCGGACTCTTAGCTGCCTCTTCACTGCAGCAATGAGGGGAGGCCTCTGAAAGAGGGCACCTGTCAGTGTTTCTATTGCCTACAGAAAGAAAGAAAAATTAAACATTATTAGGTCAAGCAGCTCAGAAGCCAAGACAGAAGGAATTTCAGTTACACCCTCGACCGATTCAAGGAAAACATCCAATCAAGGAAGATCAATGATGGCCAGGGTGGTTATTTAACCGTGCAGATCTTGAAACACCCATCAAAACTATAGAGCCACGTTCTCAGCAGCGTTATAATCTTTCAGTTCTACGATCACCAATCGTCCTAAGTTCAAAACACGGTTTGCTGGTGCAGTTAACATTTCCGTTCACAGCTAGGCGTAAAAGGGAAAATATCATTTCCAGACTGGCCAAAACTTACCCTCGAAAGTTGGATTTCACCCTCAATTGCATTGTGCAGCCGAACGATTCCCACATACTCTTTGCCTGGAAGATGACAGAAGAGTAGTAAGGAGGGGCCACTTGGATTTTATTGTTCCACCGTGAGGCTGAAGGCTTTGACTATACAGCAGTGCATCTTCTTTCTTATTAGAGACAAAACATATACCTGCACTTTGCTGGGACTTGACCAAACGCGTCGCTCGCTCAATGCACACAATCAGGCACCCGGTAACTTTGGGGTCCAATGTGCCGCTATGCCCCGTCTTCTCAACACGGAGAATGCGGCGGATCCAGGCCACCACCTCATGGGAAGATGGGTTGGAAGGCTTATCCAGATTGATGAAGCCCGTCCTAGGATAAAAACCAGCGATCAGATTGACGGAAATGACTTAACTGAGAAGAAGCTTGACAGGTTAAAAAAAACAACAACAGCGTAACATGTTTAAAGGCTAGCAACTGGGAGACCTTAGGCAAGAAGCCAGATGGGTGACCTTGGGCCAGCCCAGTCTCTCAGCCCTAGGAAGGAGACAATGGCAAACCATTTCTAGAATCTTGCCAAGAAAACTGCAGGGACTCATCTAGCCAACTGCCAGGAGCCAAGATTGATTTGAAGGTGTCCCCACCTGCTCAAGAGAGATTTTAAGCACATTACGGGGTTCACTGTAACTTTAAGCCACAATGAACATTTATCTTTATAATATTAAACTAGACTCCCTCTTGTTTTTGATTTGGCAACTAGTAAACATTCTCTAGATGATTTACTACACGTTATGTGCCACAACAATGGATGGGGTACCCTCGGCTAAACTGTCAAGTGTTATTAAAAAAAAAATGCCGGTGCTGGATAATTGTTAAAAGAGAGAGTCATGCTTGTAAATCAGTGCACTGAAAACTCAAGAAGAGGCCATAATACCCCTTCGTGATTCTGAAATTCCATAGCAAAAGTTGTAGAAGCAACTTTGTTGGTGACGACTTACACTGTGTAACATAAATCTTACCTTACATACTCAGAAATTTCTCTTTTTAAGGGGTTGCAGCCAGAAGGAAGAGGGGTGTAGTGTGCAGTCCTCACATTTAGCTTGTCAAAATTCTACAAAACCCCAAAGCAAAGCAAAATTATATTCAGTTTATAGTTTATACCCAAAATTGTTTAACAGATGTTATACATCTGACCTCACTTGGTGAAAAGCCTCAGCAAAGTGCCCTAAAGCTATCTCCCCTTTACATAAACTTCCTTGCAAAATAATATGCTCCATAAAGACAGCAATACCTGAAATTTACTCTCTTTTGTAGGAGAGATTGGTTTTTTTAATTGTAAAGTATCTCGTATCTGCATAAAAATACTGGCGTTAAATCAACCTATTTCACTATCTTACTTTGAGAAGCAAAGGCCATTGTGATGTATCCAGCTGTGGAACTCTTGATTCGGGCTTGATAAGGAATTCTTCTGTGTGTTGTATATCCTAAAAACAATTGAATTAGTATATGAATAACTGGGACTGTGAACAAGAATGTGGAAACTTCTCTTGAAGCTAAGATTGGCTTTAAGGTAAGCTGCCTCTCTCCAAAAGAGATGAAACACCACGTGCTAGTACCATATTATTCATTAATGACTTAGAGAACAGCTTTCAATAAGGAAATGTGGAAGCTGTAGCACATTCTAATCTCCCAAGATGGTAGCACCATCTTGTGGGGCTAAAGAGCTATGCAGGAACCAAAAGCTGGATGTGAACCAGGAATTCCATGACTGCAGGGCTAAACCAGGAAATCAAAAACCATCCCAGAAAAAGATAACAGCAAGACATTTCTAAACAGTTGCCAAGAAAACCACAAAGACCTATCAATGAAATCAGGAGTTGACTTTGATTCTAGGAAGGCTTTCCTTTTGCTTAAACTAGAAATGAAAAAACCATTAACTAACACTCAGATCATCCAACTTCTCTCACGATGCTTCAGAGAGTGCTTTTAAAAATAAAAGCCAGACGGGAAGCTATTGCCTAGCAGAATAGAACTTAGTCCAAGTCCTTGACTTATTAACCATTTGTTTAATGACCGTTTGAAGTTACAATGGTAGATAATGATATTGTAGAAGTGCTGATCTTTGTGTTGTGAGGTTAATAAAGTAGCAATATTCCACTAAATGCAAGTTAAGCTGTACTTTTAGTTGGGAACACTCATGGTATAACTGAGGATTAAAAGAGTTTGCTACATAAATTGACAAATTATAATCATTGGCCAACTCACTGCAACATCTTCATCTGGCAAAGACTTCTTTTTCTTCTTGTGTTTCTTAGAAACTGAATCTACAGTGATATAACAAAAAAAAAATTAGCATCTGTTGACAACTTAAAGACAGAAACAGATCTGGCAATGCTGTTGATTAGTCTACCAAAACTAAGTTTTAGTAGTTTGATTAATGCTGATGGTGTTTACACATATTTTAATAGAGCAGACAAAAGCTGGATGAATGAGGATGGCACAAAAAGGAGAAATATTGATACTTTTTGTGTCCCAACTTTATTTTTATAAATATCTCAAGGCGGCAAACATATTCAACACACCTTTCTATTTTAACAAGGACTTCCAACTGTTCTCGTAACCAGATATTTAGGGTTCAAAGAGGATGGAAGACTTTGAAAACATATACTTTAGAGAAGGTTCTCCATTTCACACACTCTTTATATAAATATATAAGGACAGGATAAATATATTCGCAGTCAAATGTTCAGCATCAACACAATTTGGTGGATTGCAATGTAGAGAAGGCTGCCCACCACACAGCCTAATCTTCCAAAATGGCCTACCAGGACCAAACACGTGTCTCCCTTCCCCCCCCTCTACCAACCTCTAACTCTTTGGAACAATACCATCAAGATTACAATAAACAACAGGCAACTCACATTAGACACAACCATGCAACTTAATGTTAAAGGTGTTCAAAAGCAGGGTAAAAAGAGTACTAACAGCAGGGAAGCATCGCAAAGCATTCATCCAAACACGTTAATACATGCATTAGGGTGGGTGACTTTAGGCCAGTCGCTATCTTTCAGCCCAGCCCAGCCCACCTCACAGGGCTGTTGTTGAGAAAAACAGGAGGCCAGAGCATTAGAAATGTTTGCTGCCATGAGATAGATAGATAGATAGATAAGAGAGACAGATATTAGAAAGACATGATAGATATAGATAGATAGACATGATATAGATACATAGATAGATAGATAGATAGATAGAATAAAATAAAACAATTGGAAATATAGATAGATTAAAATAATAGAATATTCTATTAAAATAGAATAAAATAAAATGATGATGATACGTCCCAGCATTAAGTTCCCTTTAGAAACGTTGATGCCAGGGCAGCCCCGGGGCCCTGCAAGGGGAAATTCGGGCTCCCACCCCGAAGAACAGTAGACACCTCCCCTTGAGCCCCCCAATTCTCCAAAGCCCTGTTGCGAAGTTTCTGCAACCATCTGCAACCTTTCCTACTCCCGCTCCGGAGCCCTGGTATCCCAGCATTGCACCCTCCTCCGCAGCCCCTGCCCTTAAGGACTCCTGTGCATGCACAGAGTGCATTTCCCCGTGCACCCGAGAAGCACGTGCTTCCCCTTCGCGGGCCTTTCGGAAACAGGGACGTCGGATCTAGGAGAAAAGGGACGCCCCGTCGTCAGCGGCGTGTGAGCCCCGATATCTTTTCACCCACGCCCCTCTGCCCTTCTCGCAGCCCCCGACTCCGAGGGTGCAAACCCGACCCGGAACGCGCGTCTTGCACCCACCTGTCCCGTCCGCCATTTTGCCTGCGCCACGCGCTGCTTCGGACTCACGCGCGCTCCTGCGCTATCCCGCCACCCCGCTGGGACCGGAAGCGGACTCTCCGCCCACTTCCGTCTCCAATCCCGGCAAGCAGCGCGCCGCAGGGGCGGAGCTCGAAGGATCATTGAGAATACCTTTCAACGGCCAGTAGGGGGAAAAAAATAACAACACATAGACTAACGAAAAGTAGACTGACCCCACACTGCTCGTTTGCGGGTCAACTTGAAAGAAAAATAGAAATAGAAATAATGGGAATAGAATAGAATAGAATAAGGAATAGAATAGAATAGAATACAGAATAAATAGAGAATAGAGAACAGAATAGAATAGGAAGGGATCTTGTAGGTCATCTCTAGTCCAACCCCTCACCCAAGTAGGAGACCCACCACCATACAAATGTTACAACACACACGTTGCAAGCCAAATAATGCTAACTGGGGGATTCTGCAAATTGAAATCCACACGTCTGAATTTTTTCAAATTTGAGAAATACCTTACTGGACTGACCTTATTTGCAACCTGATGGATGGTCTCTAACTCCGGTTTGCCCCCTCCCTATTAAATCTAACGTGAACTTAAATGGACTCCAGAAGACGGTAGAGGACAGGAAGACCTGGAGGAACGTTGTCCATGGGGTCACGATGGGTCGGACACGACTTCGCAATTAACAACAAATTAAATCTAATTGAGACAGAAGCAACAAGGCAGCAGGTTGGGGGGGAATGTTTGCTTTCTTTATTGCTTATGGGGGAACTTTGAGACCCCCAGCAATTAAATGATTTTTTTGTAGTCCACCATCCCTTGGCCCATATAGGCAGTAAATGTGTGCCTTGCATGGGAGGCTACTGAGGGTGAATCAGCTTCCCTTGAGAATATGTTATACTGGTACTTAAGACTAGACGGTACAGGAGGCAGCACCCTGCAGACTGACATCAGTTGGGAAAACCCTCTTTGTCCTGCAATGAATTTTGGCTCACAAAGTGAAAGCAAGTAGGACTGGGGACCAAGCTGATCTTTAGGCTGTCTTCTTTCAAAACAATGTAGAAGACATGCCCATTAATTATTAGAAGACCACTTTGCATTCTTCTGTAAGGATAGTCAATATTAAAAATCTCCAATACCAAGCCAAGTGCTTGGTGACTTCAACGTTCCTCCTGCAACAGACATGAGGTCAAATTGATACGTTATTAAAATACAGTATGACAGCATTTTACCTAATTTGTGATTTGTTGAATGGGTCACAATTGCATGTCACATAGATTAAGTCCAAATCAAACAAGCACATACGCTAGCAGCTATTGCATGTTGGTTTGAATGCTTTAATTGTGATGGGAAAAAATTGCAAAAATCAATCTGGCAAGATGTTTAATGCTGCAGCAACATGTCTCTTTTTACTCTGATAACATAAAGGGGCACTTGTTCAAAATGAACAGTATGTATTTAAAATTAAATATACCTTCAGGGAAAAGGTTACTTTTAAAAAAATCAGATTTTCCCACATCCCTATTAAGAAACCAGTTTATTTTCAAAGAACTCATGTCAGATCCAAATGAAATTACACAACAAGCTAAGACTCGAGCAAGGTAAACATTCAGATTATTTCAAGGCAGAAATGAATCCAGCACAGAACCCTGAGAACACAGCTTAGATGTGGGTTCAAACACAGAAATATTTTGAAACTCCTTCTACTCCCCCAAATTGTTGTTCAAGTCATCCATGTTGATTTTAATGTAGCTTCCATCAGAAGCACAGCGCTGAGAAGAACACAATATATCAAAATGGTATAAAGCTTTCCATCATCTCAAAACAAGAGAAACTTGCTGATCAGTTTTCAAGCCAACATTGCGAATGTCATATAATTTTCACTCGGGGCCTGTAGATGAAGGAAGAATTCTAAGAAGCCGTAAAATAAAATATGGGCCAACAGCAAACAACATGTGCAGTTCTCTCAAGCTCATAATTTAAGTTCAGACAATGACAAGCTAGAAAGAAGCAGGGACGTCGGAACACAACTCCTTCTGGCACAGGCAAAGAATGTGTTTAGAAATGGTAGTAATCCAACCTATTGGGTCCATAAGTGTCGTCACTTCAGCCTGGGAACAACATTGTAAATTTCACCTCCTTCTCACCGACTATGCAGAAGTTTATGGGAAGTTTTGCCCAAGTTCTTCAACTCTTCCCACAAGACCAGGGGTAGGCAACCTTGGCTCTTTTATGACTCGTGGACTTCAACTCCCAGAATTCCTGAGCCAGCATGGCTGGCTCAGGAATTCTGGGAGTTGAAGTCCACGAGTCATAAAAGAGCCAAGGTTGCCTACCCCTGCACAAGACCTATCCCTGGATGAAGATTTTTTTGAGAAAAAAAAACCACCCTCAGGAGCCCCAACAGTCAGAACCCCTGACCGGAGGGGCTGATCATCTCCTGCACCACCAAGTGCAGCAGGTTGTTCTGCTCCGCCGTGAGCAGCGGCCACAGCTCCTTCTGCAAAACCTTCAGCGAGTCCAAGTCCTTCTCCTGGCAGGCCATCACGGCCGACTGGAGCAGCAAGAAAAGCTCGGGCGGAACGTAGCCCGAGGCGGCGTCCAGGGCCTCCCAAGAGTACTTCTCCAGGGTCTGAGCGTGCTCGGGCAGCAGCTTGGACGGCGGCGGCTGCAGCAGGAGCAGGAGGAGCACGCGGGTGACCTCGCAGCCGAGCAGGTGGTCCAGGAAAGCGCCGGGCAGCGAGGCGGGAGAAGCGTTGGACGGGCCGCCGCCGCCGCCTCCTCCTCCTCCTCCTGCCTGGGCCAGCTGCTGGGCCTGCGTGAGCACCGCCAGGGCGCCGTCGTAGTCTCGGCCGAGCAGCAGGCAGGAGGCCACGTCGCGCAGCCCGTGCAGCGCCTCCAGGGGCAGGTGGGCCGCGGCCAGCAGGTCGGCGGCGCGCAGGAAGGCCGGCACGGCTTGGCCCGGCTCGCCGGCGGAGCGCAGCTCGTTGCCCAGCTCCAGCCACAAGCCGGCCGCCAGCGCCGCCTGGCCCAGGTCGACGTGGAGGCGGGCGGCGAAGGCCACGCAGCCGTGGGCGGCCGGCAGGTGCTCGCACAGGCCCAGCCCGGCGCCCTGCCGCAGGCGGAGCTCGCGCTCGTGGCGCAGCCAGAGCCGCGCCGCCTCGGCCAGCGCCGCCGCCTCGCCCGCCGGGTGGCCCAGGCTCTGGGCGCAGCGCGCCACCGCCAGCTGGCACCAGGCCGCGTAGGGCAGGCTCTCCTGGGCGCGCAGCTCCCGCGCCAGCGCCGCGAACTGCTCCGACGCCTCCGACACGTTCGGCTTGCGCAGGAAGCGCTTGCGCAGCTTGGACGACACCAGCCGGTAGCGCGTCAGGAAGTCGCCGCCGCCGCCCGAAGCCGCCTCGCCCGGGCCGAAGCCCGAAGACGAGCCGGCCCCGCTGCCCGGCACCGAGAGCATGGCGCCTTCCCTCTCGGAGGACTGCGCCGGAAGTGACGCCTCCGCGTTGCTTGGAAACGGCCCGGATGTGGAAAAGGGAGAAGAAGGCGGGGAAATGGCTAAGGCGAAGAGTGAAGGCCTGCACGAGCAGCTGATTGGCTAAGAGTGAAGGCCTGCACAAGCAGCTGATTGGCTAAGAGTGAAGGCCTGCAAGAGCAGCTGATTGGCTGATCTAAAATGGGGGTGGAGACCGCTCTAATTGGTTCAGGGGGCGTGGCCGCAGCACTTCTGGGCGAGTTGAGGCATAAATAATAATAATAATAAATCTTATATAAATAAAAATGTAAATGTAAACGTTTGTTCAAAATCTTAAATCTCCGAAAGTTCTTCACCGATTGCTTGGAAATTTTGACACAGCATTGCATTCGAATACGCGCGTGTTTTTATATACCTCCTATTATATAGATGTCACACCTGTGGCAGGTAAAAACATGCTTTTTTTGAAAAACAGCGCCATCTGTTGGACGTAAAAGCAAACCAGACAATCTTTATATCTGCACAGACAATGGAACAACAAAAAATATTGTATACCCACAAGCACTGTGAAATTAAACATAGTACAAACGTGCGCTTTCTCTTTTCTTTCTTTTCCTTTTAACCAGACTGAGCCACAGCAATGCGTGGTGGCCGGGTACAGCTAGTGAATTAATTAAATCAATCCGAATAGAGCTGGCAGGGACTTTTGGAGGACATCTAGTCCAGCCCCTGCTCAAACAGGAGATCCTATATACCATTTCAGACAAGTGGCTGTCCAATCTCTTCTTAAAAGCTTCCAGTGATGGAGCATCCACAACCTCTGAAGTCCAGCCGTTCCACTGGTTAATTGTCCTCACTGTTAGGAAGTTTCTCCTTAACTCCAAGTGGCTTCATAATTCACGCACGAACCTTGGTTTGTTAAGTAAACCCCAACTGGCTTGGGTTCAAACCACATACTTTGCAATGAAAACCGTGTTTTGCAAACAGTGGCATAAGGTGCCCGGTCCCTGCTGAAGCCTAACTCTGGTTTAATAAAACATCCTTGTTGGGGTTTGTATAATCTGGTTGTGCCTGTTCAAATAATTTGCCTTGACCTGTCCTAATGACATGGCTGGCAAGACATATTTGTGTTATTTGTGTCGTTCCAACAAAACCCAGTGTTGTTGGGTTTTTGCATCATGATGAACGACACAACACAATTTTGTATGAGCCCAGTGTCCTGAATTGTGGGAACCATCCAGTGCACTGAATATCCTCTTTCTAGGCTGAGAAGGGATAGCAAGTTACATGCTCGTCATTCCAATATTTTAAAATGTTTTGGGGCAGATTTACAAAGCAGTCCTTGGTTTTATGGCTCTTCCTGTGCAATAAACAGGGCTAAAATGCGTTGTGAAAAGTGAGCATTTCATAAGCCATGACTTAGCACAGTGGTGGCGAACCTATGGCACGCGTGCCAGAGGCGGCACTCAGAGCCCTCTCTGTGGGCGTGCGTGCCATGCCCCAGAGATGGCAACCGTCCCTCTTCAACCAGCTGCCCGCTAACTTGCCGAGGTCCCACGTGGCCGGATGCATCCCAGCATCCATGCACTCGCTGGCCTCTGTGTGCAGGGGCCGATGGTGTCAGACAGCAGCTGCCCAGCCCCTGCCTTGCCTTGCCCTGCAATAATGGCACCTCCGCCCTGCCTCGCCTTGCCTCGCCTCACCCCGCAGGATGAGCCTCCTGCCCACCGCCCCACCTGCCAGAGACCCTCTGGATCTCCCCCAACCCTGCCCAACCCCCACAGGCATCCCTCCCCATGAGCAACATTGAGGTGACCACGCCCACCTTGGCCACACCCACCCAGTCTGCCATGACCACCACAGCCATGCCCACCCAGTGGGCCATGCCCACCTGGCACCCGGCGATAAATAAGTGGGTTTTGGGTTGCAGTTTGGGCACTCGGTCTTTAAAAGGTTCGCCATCAATGACTTAGCACATTGTGTGAATGCAACCACATATATTTGGCCACATATATTTGGCCCCCATATATTTGGCCACATGGACCAGTGGCCAGCATTAATTTCTTTAAAATAGCTCTTTCTGAGTTGCCTTCACCTTGCAGGACAAGAGGAAGCAGCTGAAAACCCCTTGCCCACAAATACAGTAGCATCTCAAATTTCTTTTTACATTGTTATTTCACAGCTCTCCGACCACATCTCTGACTTGCAGAAAAGCAATGGCTTAGTTTCCTCACACACATGAACACACACACACACACACACACACAAGGATAGCCTGTGTGTGTGTGTATCTCCCATTTCTCCAGCTCAAAATATCTACGTATACTAACTGAAAATCCAATTCTTCAACCCCCAAATATTTATTACCATATGCATCCACACTGGGTCATTTCAGCCCTCCCCTCCATTTGGAAAAAAAATATGCTCTCTATTTTAATTATTATTTTTGTTCATTTGAATATATTATCAGCCCAACTTTAATGGACTCCAGCCATGAATGGGTCCTTCCTTCTGCCTCTTACAGACTGCCCACAACAGGCAACAGGTTGACTCACGCAGTTAGTTGTGGTAGCCAAGAAGACATTTAAATCTAAGAAGTGTTGACCAAGAGCCTACATAATTAATCACTGTGTTGTGTTTAGCTCTAGAGTCTAGACAGAACGTGATCCTGGGCAACATCTGGGAGACTCAAAAAACCTATCTATGGCATGGCTGTTGTTTCCCCAGTCTGTCCAAAGATATAATCTGAGCAGAAGAAAAAAGGAACTGAAATTGAATATCTCTTCTGTAACGGAAATATTTGAAGCTTCCTTATCTCTTTTATATGACTTCTTCTTTCATATAGGAATGTCAGTTTGTTACTGTCACTTTTGTTTATACTCTAGACAAAAAGTTCAGGAAAAGTCCATGTTCCAGTCTTCACCAGGTCCATAATAAAGGATGTTAGATGCCTCCAAATGGTTTGTGATGCGTTGTGTTGCAAGGTTCAACTTGTTCTCAAGACTAGCAGCCCCAAAATATTACTGGTACCAAGTTGCTTGCTTGGTAAAAAAAGGTCTGAAAGCCTATCGCTTCCAAGTTCTCTTCCATACTGGCAGTGACTAGCAAAGTTGGGCTGGTTTACATGATTCACCGAAATATCAATTCATATTTTAATAATAAAATGTATGTAAACCTATCCCAGGAAGTCAGTTTATATAAAACAGAAGGAATTTTTCCATCCATCCATTCCTTCTCCCATCCTTCAATAAACATTTTAAGAAGATACACAAATTATTCTACTTGCAATAGAGTGGGCTTTTTTGTCTAAAAGTCTGCTCAATTATGAAAAAGAACTTTAACTTTGATTTTATAGTATTTGTGTCTAGCTTCATCCGTTTTTCTACTCCAACCAAACTGTCTCTGTCTTTGGTACATACATTTTTCAGGTCCATACCATTCATTGCATCATGTAAACCATCACTGCAAATTATTTAAATTCTCAGCCACTAACATGGCATAGTGTACACAAAAGTACACACACATCTGTATAAAAGTCTGCACACATTTATATACCCGAACAACACACCACAAGCATTTCTCGTAATTAACCCAAAGATGCTTTTTCATGAGGCAACTGGACTTTCTTGTTTTTCCTTTGAAGACGTTTCACTTTTCATCCAAGAAACTTCTTCAGTTCTGAAGAAGCTTCTTAGATGAGAAACAAAACAAGAAAGTCCAGCTGCCTTGTGAAAAAGTATCTTTGGAACAACTATGACCTGGATGACTGAGAATCTCCATAGACATTTCTCGTAATGTTTATCCATAAATATATTAAACGATCAATGAACACCATATCCTTCCATTCCATTTTTAGGACAGTTTAGAACTATCTGCCAACCATTATGCTCACATATTTTACTTCCACTTTGTATTCCACTTTTACTGCATTCAGAAGGCCATCCTTTAACACTATATTAATGCATAGCATTCCATACTGTGGTGCACGCCCATTCACTCTTATCACATGCTTTCTCCAAACCCACAAACATACAATAACTGTTATTTCTCACAGTCAGGCATTTCCTAATAACTAGTTAAAGAGCAAACATCTGATCTGCACACCCCTTCTTCTTCCGTGTCTAGGTCAAACTTTAGACTGCCAGATTGAAGTCACCTTCTTGGTTTTGTTGTTGGCCAAAAATAAGCCATTATGGGTACATGTTTCTGGTAGTAGTCAACATACCAGCAGATGGGCCGGGCTCTGCCTCTCTCCACATTCACATAGCGTATTGTTATCTGCTAAGAGCCTCCACTTGAGCACACTGGTTTTACACCTACACACTCCAACTCTTAATCTAGTCAAAGTCCTCCAAGTAGTAAAAGGGAGGCCAGGTCCTTCAGCCATATCCTCCTTTAATGTTATTCCTCCTCCTCCTTTGAACACCACTGTCCTGCATAAAGTCACACTTGAATACCCCAATTTTATTCATTGCTACCTCTCACATCTGGTGCTATTTTGACTTTGTGTCCTTGTCTAAGTACAAGGAACTTAAGGCTTAAAAAAATTCAAAACCCTCCTACTACCAATCCAAAAGTCTTAACTCCCCCCCTTCCCCCCACCTTTTATTCTTCCTATTTTCTCTAAAAAGAAAGCAATCTATTTCCCCTATCTTCTTTCTCAGCTGCTTCACCTAGTGGTACACAACTGAGTAAATGTTCATAGGCAGTAAGCTCAGCCAACCACATCCATCTCGTTATCTTCGCTGACAGAGCTTTAAAGATCGGCAGGTTCAACACACATCTTAGGAAGTTCTCAGAAGAGACTTTGAAAAGCGGTGTGAAAGCCTCAATCGTCATCAGAGTGAATGTCTGAATGGAGATGTCAAGGTATGTGATGACACGAGCCATTTAAGTGTTTTTGGGGGTGAGGGTGATAATGGAGGGCTGAAGTGGGTTCAAGTGTGATTTTAGTCTCCGGGTTTCTAGTGATTAGTTTAGTGCTGCTGTTTCGATTAGTTTGGTGCTGTTCTTTCAAACTCTCGACATAATGGAAATCTAAGAAACCAGCAACCACACGCATGCCTTATTGACAAGCTACCAGCATTTAAAGATCAAAAATAACACTTCCAAGTATAGACAGTTCTAGGAACTACATTTTTTTTTTACTATTATTTTGCAGGCAAATAGGAACGTGTACAGTGATGTGATGGCCCATAAGAACACAGGATTTCTATTTTTGTTGAATGTTATGCTTTTTATCTTTTCCTGATGAAATACGTATATGGATTTGCTTGTGACACCTACTAATAGTTATAACTGCTTCTGAGATGGACTGTGTTCCACGTAGAATTTGCCCAGCCAATACATGCAAGCAGGCAGGGACCATTGTGGAAAAAAATAGGAATCTTGGGAGCTAACTGATTGGTTTCCCACTCTTACTTTGGAAGACTATACGAAACCAACCTGGGATTTTAAAATATATATTATCTCAATCTAGAGAGTACAAAAACCGTGTTCTTCCTCAGAGCCCGCAAAAAGGAGAAGCTAATATAAGACAGGCATCAATATTTAAGACTGGCCTTGGATGCCAGCATTAGGCTCGTTATGTTTTATGCTGATTTTAGAGTGTTTTATTGGCTATCCTTGTAACACACCTAGAATCAATAGACTAGATGGCCCACAAGCAGCTTCATATATAAATATATTTTTTTATTGTTTTAGCCATTCAGTCGTGTCCAACTCTTGGCGACTTCATAGGCAAGCGATCTTTTTGCTACTCTGTCAAGCACAGCTTTTTCCAGTTGTTGGATGTTCATTTTTATATCAGCTTTGATGGTATCAAGCCAGCGAGTTCTTTGCTCGCCCTTCTTATTTTACTAACCTTTCCTAGCATCACTGACTTCTCCAATGAATTTGCACGCAGGGCACAGCCAAAGTAAATCAGATGCATTTTTGTGATTCTGGCTTCTAGTGTTGGGTTTCAGCACCCCTCTGATATAAATAAACAGCAACATTATATTTAACATATGTTTGCAGACAACAGCATGTCAGCTTGCAAACTGAATGTGTGTTGGTATGCTAGACTTTCATTATGTCTCTGTCACCTCCGTCTCTCAAAATTAGCTGGCACTGAATCCTCCCACTTCAAAGTCGGGTTTAGGTATTTTAAAGCAGTTCTCAACAGTGCATCCCATTTGCATCTGCTGAGAAACAGACTCGGCTGAACCCGACAGAAATCCAGGAAAAATAACAACAGCTTTTCTTGGTGTTCTGAAGACAACTAAAGAACATGCTGTACGGCCCATTTGACATTACAATACACAATCAGCTGCACAGCAAACAAATATTACTTTTGTTCTTTTTTTGTCAAAACTATATTTGAATATTTTAAACAGTTAAAAAAAAAAAATCAGTGCATGCAAATGTAAAAAGCAGCTGGAACTCAAGCTTATTTAAATCTATGGACAGTTCTTAGCAACGTATCCTATCTAGGTATTTATCAAATGCATACGGGTGCCCATCTACCATGGGGACAATAACAAAATAAAAAACGTAACATTGAAATCAAATAAAAGAACAATGTTAAGGAGCTGGAACAAATATGCTGTCAATCATGCTGGTCTTCATTTATATCCTACCCCAGTGCCTGCAAATGGCTATTTTTTTTAAATTGCGTTTGAGTCAGTTTTTGATTCTTGGTGGCTGCCTGCACTAGATTCTGTGGTTTTCTTGGCAAGGTTTTTCAAGAGTGATTTCTTTTCCCTTCTTCCTAGGGCTGAGAGAGAAGGCTCATGGTTATCCAGCTGGCTTTGTGCCTAAGTTGGTACTAGAACTCAGGTCCCTCAGTTTTTAGCCTGGTGCCTGAACTGCTAGACCAGGGGTAGGCAACCTTGATTCTTTTATGACTCGTGGACTTCAACTCCCAGAATTCCTGAGCCAGCCATGCTGAGGGGAAAGGGAGAGGTTTCCAAGCTGAGCCATGCTGGCTCAGGAATTCTAGGAGTTGAAGTCCACGAGTCCTAAAAGAGCCAAGGTTGCCTACCCCTGCGCTAGACCAAACTGGCTCTTCATGGCCTTAAGTCATAGCTATTCATTTACAAAGCCAAGGAGGCTTGGAAAGTGGGGGCAATGGTTTTCAAGTCTGGAGTTCCATCCCTGCTAAGTTAATTAAGCAATGATGTTAATTAAGAAATTTATGGAATCATCTAATTATTTCTCCCATATTTTTTTTTCTCCACAGAGGTATGGACATCCATTCTTGTCTTGGGGAGAACCTCAGTAATGGATCTAACCTATCTTGTGAATCCACCTGTCGAATCCAGGATGGCTTTCTGACGGAGACCTTGCCTGCAATGTACTCAATCATCGCCATCATTGGTTTCCTTAGCAACCTCCTGGCACTCTGGGTCTTCACTTTGGGCTCCCTCAAGACAAACTCCATCACGGTGTACATGAAGCACCTTGCCATCGCCGACCTCTTGCTCTCCCTCTGTTTGCCCTTCCGGGTGGCTTATCAAAACCACAGTGGTCCCCCCGCTCTCTGCAAGATGGTAGGCATGATCTTCTACATCACCATGTACGTCAGCATTTTGCTTCTCAGCCTGATCAGCCTGGACCGCTACTTCAAAATAATCAAGCCCCTTCAACAATTCCGAATCCACACTAAGTCGTTCAGCGCTTCCATGTCCCTGGTGGTGTGGATGGTCTGCTTCATCACCATGCTTTGCTTCCTTTTGGACACGAGTAGAAGTGGGCCCTGTGGCCACAAGTGCTTCCATTTCAAGTACAGAAGCACCAGCGGAGGCATACTCAATTTGATGGCGGTGGCTTTTTTTTTCCTCTTGCTGTTCTTTTTCCTTTATTCCTACGCTAAGATCTCCCTCAGGCTCCGTGCAGTCTCTTTGAAGAAAACCCAGCAGCACAGTAAGAGGATGAGCACCAGAATTGTAATCAAGACTTTTGTGGTCTTGGTGGTTTTCATCGTATGCTTCGTCCCCTACCATATGGTCCGAATACCCTACATCCTTTCCCAAATGAGGATCATTTCTGAACAGAACATCCAGGCCCTCCATCTTGCAAACGAACTGGTCCTTTGCATTTCAGCCCTCAACTGTTGTTTTGACCCTGTGATTTTTTTCTTTCTGTCCCGCAGTTTCAAGAGATCCTTGCTGGACACCACTCTCCGAAAGCTAAAGTGGGTTTCTCAAAATAACCAGAGAGTATTGTACGCCAAATAATCGATTTCAGACTTCAGGGTAGAGAAGGACTAAGTTGCATAACTAGGATAAACTTCTGAAAGTGAGTTCTTCTTGCTAGATCAGCCGTCTTCAGGAAGGTGATGACCAGAAGTTGCAATGACTAAAAGCCCTAGTTAAGAATTTTTAATTCAACAAGTCCAGAAGACACCAAGACACAGAAACCTGACTTAGACATCACTCAGGGAAAATACTGATATATGTTAAGAGGAGACGCAAGCGACAAATGGGGTTTTTAATCCCTACTTTTAATCCCTATTCTATATTTGATTTTCTTTTTCTGAGAAAACCACGGACAAAGCAAAAAGAGGATGACTATTAAAAACAATTTGTGAAAGAAAAGCTAACAAAACTGAGCAGAAAACTGAGCGTGCTGCTTTTAAAAGTTTGTCAAGCTGTTCTTACTGTCTTAAATTTTTTCTTTATATTTGAGCAAAATTTACTCTCACTGATTCTACTTCTGTCTTCTAAGGAAAAAGGAAATAATAGCTTTTCTGGCATCTTTTAGCAAAACTAGGAACCAAAGGTTTAGGAAGCTGTTGAAACGCATCATTGTTTTTGTCTTTGAAGTTTCTACATATTCATCACTAGATTGTTGGTTGAAATGATTTCTTGCAAGTCCTTATTTGCTTACAGTAACCCTTTAAACGGAAACAATAATTCTTGGAAGAAAGACATTGCTCAATCACCTCTAAGAATGAAACAAAATCTTCCAAGAATTATTGTGAATTTGAATAGAATTGGGTATTTCTAAATGTCCGTTTTGGGGATTACTAAAAAAGGGAAAAGCTTCCGTTGCTAAAAGTTACACATTCCATGGACGGTGCGATGACCATTATCATTTCTAAAGAAACCCCAATATTTAAAATTGGTTTAAAATATTGTTTTATTTAAAGAATTTGGAGAAATTGATGGGCAGGACAGCTTTTACTGGAGAGCAATTACACTTGATGCTTTGGCTTTTTCAAAACAAAGATCAGAATAGACTTGCAGTGATTCTTAAGGCTTAAGAGAGGCAGGCAGCTAAAATTTGTAATGCAACATCCTTAGCAAAGGAGAGATGTGGTGAGGTATATCACATAAAAAAATCTACCACATACAATTATAACTGCAAAAAGCTAATTTTTTTTCCTCTGCACTGACTGGTGTTCAGAAAAACATTTAACAAGAAAATTCTTGCTATGGCAATGCAAGGTTTTCTGCTCGCTATTTCTTTCATTTAATTTAATCCAGGTTAGGCTACTTTTATTTTAATGTGGATTATGTGGTGGAATAGAGTCTGGATTCCCAGGAGGGAGGGGCTGCATTCCAGAGGACCAAGAGACAACAAAGTTTAAGTAGTTTGGTTGGGAGAAAGTTAAAACAGCTCCTCCCTAGAAGTTCTTGGAGTATATCTTTAATGATGCAAGTAGTTCACTTAAGTTTGGCAAGATTTCTGTGTATAGGCGAGGAAAAATAAAGAGAACTATTTGGAAATGATTCAGTTTCTTTCTTAGTTTTCAAGCCTGACAAATGAAAGAACATCTTTAAAAAAAAAATAGCCAGAGAAATTCAACTGTAAGACTTTTTGGAAAATGCACCTAATTTTCTGTTATTGTTACTTAGATAGGTTGTCCTCGAATCACAGCCCCCATTGAGCCCGACTTTTCTGTTGCCCAGTGAATTTTGCCCCATTTTACGACGTTTCTTGCCACAGTTGTTAAGTGGTTCACTGCAGTTAAGTTAGGCAACAATAGTTGTTAAGTGAATCTGGCTTCTCCCATTGACTTTGTTACCAAAGGGGATCACATGACCCTGGGACACAGCAACTGTCGTAAGTATGAGTCAGAGGCCAAGCGTCTGAATTTTGATCATGTGACCACGGGGATGCTGCAACAGTCGTAAGTGTGAAAAACGGTCATAAGTCACTTTTTTTCAGTGCTGTTATAATTTTGAATGGTCGAGGACTACCCTAATTATTTTTGTACACATATGCCATTGCCTTTATGAAACACTTGTTTTCTTACGCTCTGCAGATTAAGGTAAGAATAAACTAAACCCAGGCCAGGAATACAAACGCACAGAGACGAAGGTCTTGAGACCGTTTAATAATAAATAAATAAATAAAATAAAACTGAAATAAAAGCAGCTGAAGCACGATCTAGATAAGAGTTATATAAAACAAGAGCCAATGCAAAAGGCATGGAAGCTTGAAATGGGGGGGGGGGAAATCCATTTTTTAAAAAAAATAATTGTATCGGTTTATCAAAATATAAAATGCAAACTCTACAACTCCATTACTTTTTGCTATTACTTTTTTTTAATTTGTGTTTGTATTTTATATTTCGATAAACCAATACAATTATTTTAAAAAAAAGAATGTTAAAAAAAAAAAAAAAAAGAAATTCTGGTCCCAGTTGTGATTGCAATTGAGGATTGTCTTTGTCTACACAGTATGCGTGAACTGTTAAATAAAATAAATTCATTTTCCAAAAGGAAAAAAGAAAAAAGAAATTGTGTTTGTGTGTGTCGGGCGGGTGGGGGGTGGAATTTAGTCCAGATTCAATCCGGAAGGCTTTGAGAGAACGAAGAAAACTTCAGAGAGAATTGGTTGAAAAGAAGGTACGTCCTTTAACATTCAAACGTATAAACGGCACAACCCGGTGTGAATCGGTTTCTGTTCTACTCCTGGGTGCTCCTGGTTTGGTTAGAAAAAATGCTCCTCGGGCTTAGAGTTGGAGATTCGAAACTCTTTTGGTCTGGCACCTGCTTGCATAGAGCAAGACAATTTCACCAGCAAGAATCAGAGTGCAAGGAAATTTCTTGCTGTCTTGCTGGTGGGAGGCTTTTGTGGTTTAACAGCAAGCTGCTTGAACTTCTCCTTCTGAAAAGTTGCTTCACTTTTCTTTTCTTTTTTTAACAAATAGGGGCCATATGATCAGGTCTAAATTGTCAGGCTTTTTTCTTCTTCCCCTTTCCACATCAGCACTGCTTAAGCGGCACTTGTTCCCTTCTTATTTTTAAAAAATGCTGAAGGGACATTATTGAAAGCAGCTGCGGTTAAAGCTGGCCTCGGGCTAACCTTTTGTCTTTGGGGTTCCAGGGGTGTTTCCAACCTGGAACCCTATTTTCTTGGCAGGAATCATCGGTACGAGACCTCGATTTACAGCCGTTCCGTTGAGTAGACTGAAGTTACAACGGCATTGCAAAAGAGTGACTTTTCACCGTTGTTCCTACGTACGACCGTCGCAGCATTCTCTCGTGGTCACGTGATCAACATTCGGACAGGTGTCAAGGGGTTCATGTTTATGATGGTTGCCAGCGTCCCGGAGTCATGTGATCCCCTTTTGCGACCTTCTTAGGAGCAAAGTCAATGGGGAAGCCAGATTCACACAACAATTATGTTACTAGCTGAACAACTATAGCCATTCCCTTAACAACTTGTGGCAAGAAAGGGTACAAAATGGGGAGAAACTCACAACTGTCTAGCTTAGCAACAGAAATTTTGGGCTCAGTTGCGGCCATAAATCATGGAGCACCGTTATTAGGGCCAGTTTGTTATACGCTACCATTTTAAATAATCCAAAATATCTCTCTGGTGCAGTGCTGCGTTGGGACATTGAGGAAAATTCAAAATGAACATGTGTGATTAGTCTATGTGTATTTTCTGAGGTCTAAAAAAACCCCAAAACAACAATCTTAGAAATATAAAACATTGGGAAGAAGTACGTAACTGAATGATAAGCTGAGAATGATCTATGTCATGTTTGGGATGTGACTGAGCTGCGTGAAATAGTTAACTTTAATAGACTGTGGTTGTCTTGTGGGAATAATTCAATATTGTTACTTATATACGGACACACAAAACCCTCTACAGCCAAAACTCTATTCAGCTTTGCATTCTGCTCTCCTGTTGACACACTCAATGGCAACGGGGCCACCCCATTCCAGCCACCCATCTCTGGAGGCCGAGAGCTATCCTGGCTCAGAGCCAAGAGTGTCATTTTATCGTGCAATTTGTAGAGAACCAAGTTTTTATAATCTGTTCAAGACTTCTCACCCTGGGATGACCAGGTCCTAAAATCCACTAGCTGTGGAACATCTCCAAATGTCAATCTGTCTTGTCAGTCTTTAGCGTGAAATTTGCTACCAGTTCTACACAATTGCAATTAAACAGAGAATTTGACAGTGGAGAAAGAATTTGGGGAGACTTATACGTGTACTAAAGTGGTCCAAATAAGAGAGTGAGGAGAGGTGAGGAGAGAGAGAGAAAGAGAATGAGAGAGGGAGAGAGAGGGACGTGGAGAGAGGGAGGGAGGAAGGGAGGGGGAGAGAAAGAAAGAAAGAGAGAGAGAGAGACAGAGAGAGAAAATAAAAGTAATAACTAAATGTCATGCAAATCTCTGTGGAATATAAGTGAAGGAACCAGATCAGGAGGAGCTAGCATGAGAAAATTAAGCCCTATCTTTTTTGGGGGTTAGATGAGGTTAACCACGAGGCTTCAATTCAAAACATTTCAAAGAAAATAAGAAAAAAAATGAGAACATATAACCTTTCCAGATGTCAATTGCCCCACTTTTTCGTGACATGGTCCCAGGGCTCCATGACTCACAAATTCTTCTCAACATAAGCTTCCCGGAGTCGCCCATGTATGGCTACCATACCTAAATTTGTTCAATACATAAATAAATACAAGCAGTCCTTGACTTACAACTACAACTGAGCCCAAAATTTATGTTGCTAAGCGAGACATTTGTTAAGTGACTCTTGTCCCATTTTACGATCTTTCTTGCCACACTTGTTAAGAGGATCACTGCAGTTGTTAAGTGAGTAACACCGTTGTTAAATGAATCCAGCTTCCTCACTTGTCAGAAGGACGCAGAAGGGGATCACTGCGACTGTCATAAATATGAGTCAGTTCCCAAGCTTCTGAATTTTGATCACGTGACCCTGGGGATGGTGCAATGGTCGTTAAGTGTGAAAAATGGTCACCAGTCCCTTTTTTCAATCCCTTTGTAACTTCAAACGGCCACTAAATGTTGTAAGCCAAGGACTACCGATAAACCTTGAGGTCAAGCAGCCAAGCTAGATGCTGAAAGTATAAGACTTGGAATGTACAAATTTAAAACCCAACATTTCTTTTTGAAACCTAAGTCAACTCCCTTACACACAGTCATCTCTTCCGGGCTTCCTAAAGTTTTTATTTTTTTAAGCTTATAGCATGACTTAGGGTTTTTAATTCATTGGCCACACTTTGCAAAATCGGTTTAATAAAACGAAGCCGGAGGCAGCAGTTGCTCTCAGAAAGAAATATCGCTGAACTTTTTTTATTATTATTAGAAGCAGAGTAACAGGAAACAATTACAAAGTTTGATGGCTAACGGTGACGATAACAATCTTGTTCTTAGAGGAACAAATGTGTGGCCGTGTGAGGGACAGGATGAAGGGATCTCAGCTACTTATACACAAAGCCACACAGGTCCTCACAAAACCTACACAGAACACAACTCGAGTGGTACTTTTTGCAAAGACTTTCTTAGAAGTGAGTAAGTGTATTCCTGAAACTTAGCAGCTAATAAATACCAGACAGCTGTAGACGTAGCCTTGATCCAAAGATCATATTTGCACCTCCTCTACATTTGATGCATTCTACGTGGCCCTGAAGCTCATACACAGTTAAGAAAATCAGGTTAGAGATGGCCTCAAGTAACAAATATCTTGTGCTGCTAGAAACTGAACATTGTCTAAAAGGAGTGTTAAGAGCAAAAAGTGCTACTACAGCATCACATTAAAACGAAGTCCAAAACTACGAGTTAAGAAAGGAGAGAAGCACATACAGACCTGGTTCTTGCAAAGAACATCACAACTCAGGTGAGGTGTAGCTAAACTATAGCTGGGCAAAATGACCTCAACAGCAGCTTGGAGCTCATGAGATAAATACTGCTTCAGGGACAAGCAAATCTAAAATATATTCCTTACAAAACGTGAGCATCTTCAGGGAGAAAATTCAACTAGACTCAAACTGCTGATGTTCGTGTAGGATTCTACTTTCTTTCTTTCCTGCTCCCTTAGTGAAGATCTCAAATGTTATAGTTCAAATTATGACTCCTACAGTTTAGCAAGAGTCAAACTGTATCCTTCTAGACTTGGAGGAATCTTGCCAGCTTTCCCGCTATTTTAATTCAAAAGCCGCAAAGAACAGAATATTGTCAAAGGAAAATGGTAGCCATTTCCTGATGTATATAAGAACTGCAAAGTTCCTTTTCTAGCAGTTTTGCATGTTTAATATAATTCTAGAAGGACAAAAAAAAAAGGTCTCATTTACCTGAAAAGGATCAAGTGCTCAGCTCTGAACATAGGAAAGGTGACTGATTTTCCCTAATTACCAGAAATGTGTCAATGAGAGCCAATGGGCTTAACCAAGTTTGGCTGAGCTTGGCCATGACCAAGGTTGGCTGACAAACATGAACAAAGATGGACCTTCTCGTGGTTAAAACAGCCCTCCCACTCCTAAAATAATGCACAGATTAGTTTTCAAGTTTGAAGACCAACTCAACCACAGAATTTGCATCCCAAGTTCTGTGAAAGCCTTCCATTCTTCATTATTAATAATGAAAATGTCACTGCAAATCCAATATAAAAACAAAGGCAAGATATTTCTATTTGGTTTGAAGGAGAAAAGCTGACTTTGGCTGTTTCTTGTAGGTGCTGTTCTTCCACAGAATGACAAATCTTGGCTTCCTATAGACGTTCTGGGCATCCCTGTTGGATCATGCTCAAGAGATGCAGTGGGAACGGGTGTCTCCGATGATGGCGGGGTGCAAGCTATGATCATCATCCATCTCTAGAAGGAGTAATGGTCTAGAACTCCTTGTTCCTAGTCAAGGACCCGGTTCCTAAGGCTAGGAAGCGGATAGCGGAAGCAGTGTCTCCACTCAGATCTTTGAGCTAATCATCTCAGCTTCAGCTAAAAGCCCCACTTACTTTTCTTCGGAAGAGACGGCACTGCTGAGAAGGCCAATCAAAATGAAACATGCAATTATTTTCACCTAACTTGCTAAGAGGAATAATCAAGTGTCTTCTTTCTTTCTCTCTCTCTCTCTCTCTCTTTCCAATTGTTTGAGCTTTAGTTCAAGAACACGGATTGGCAGCTTCCAGCTTCTTAGAGATAAGGCTTCTTGTTATCAATAAAGAAAGATCCTTCAAAGGAAAGAGCAGAAAAGAAACAAAGCAAGGAAATTATGGTGGGGAAATCCCCCCACATAGACTGTGCTTCCTTCCAACATAGAATGGGTGGCAAAGAAATTCTGGAGAAAGTTGAAGCAACGACCAAGATGAAGAATGGACAACGGAGTAAGCTAGAAAGAAATGCAGTGCTATAATTATATCGTCATCCTTATTATTATTATTTTTAATAGTGCTGGGAAATCGGGACTTAATGTTGTCTTCTCTCCCCAGATCTGTTTGTGTTCGTCCTTCCTTCCTCCTGCTCTAAAGCTTTCTGAAGCAACTTTCCCATCCCATGGGAAGTTTAACATCACCAGCAGGCAGCAAAGAGAAGAGATACAAAGAAGCAGAACCTTCCAACATTGGGTACCAGTGTAATTTGGAGGTCTCAAAAGGCTGGAAGAACAACAAACACGACTTTCAGATGAACTAACTCAACTTGCCTTGAGACTCTACCACTTTTCAAGCATGTACATCAGTAAAACCTTGATGTTTTTGTACATGGGCAGTCTCAAGAGGACAGGGCCGCTTTCAATAGCAAAAGGCACAAGAGGTGGTAGCACCTTGAAAGTCAGAACTGGTCTCTACATGGCTCCCCAGTCCATCTGACCCGAGCTGAGCCAATGGGCTGGGCTTTGGAAACCAAAGAGAACCAATCAGGGAGTGTAGAATGGGGGGAGTGAAGAAAAGGCAGTAGACTTTATTACTTGTTCAATCATCAAGTAATGCTGGGAGGACGTCTTCTCTCTTGTGACCAGAGGCCAGATCTGTGAGGTATGCATTTTTTTTCTCTCCCATTCCTGAATCAGTAGCTCCAGAGTATCAGAAGCCCCAGCCACCTTAGGCTTGAAGTCCAAGGAAACGGGCTGTGTTTAGCACGTCATCTCTGGTGAGGTAGCAACCACAAAGCTGGCGATATCCTGTGAAAGATTCTCGGCCATGCAGCACTCGCCAATTGTCCACAAAGAGGGCCTACAGATGGAATGAAAAGGAGAATTAATCATCATCATCATCATCATCAACATCATCATCATCATCATAGGAAGAGGAGGAGGAGGAGGAGGAGGAGGAGGAGGAGGAGGAGGAAGAAGAAGAAGAAGAAGAAGAAGAAGAAGAAGAAGAAGAAGAAGAAGAAGAAGAAGAAGAAGAAGAAGAAGAAGAAGAAGAAGAAGAAGAAGAAGAAGAAGAAGAAGAAGAAGAAGAAGAAGANGAAGAAGAAGAAGAAGTTGGAAAGGACCTTGGAGGTCATCTAGTCCAACCCCCTGCTCAGGCAGGAAACCCTACACCATTTCAGACAAATGGCTGTCCAGTCTCTTCTTAAAAACTTCCAGTATTGGAGCATTCACCGCTTCTGGAGGCAGGTTGTTCCACTGGTTAATTGTTCTCACTGTCAGGAAATTTCTCCTTAGTTCTACCTTAGTTCTATGTCTGTACCAGTGATTTTAACTAAATTAACTCAGTAACAGGAACAGAGTTGGAAGGGATCTTGGAGGTCATCTAGTCCAGCCCCCTGCTCAGACAGGAAACCCTATACCATTTCGGACAAATGGCTGTCCAGTCTCTTCTTAAAAACTTCCAGTGTTGGAACACCCACCGCTTCTGTAGGCAGGTTGTTCCACTGGTTAATTGTTTTGTCAGAAATGAAGAAGGCTATGTAGATAGTCCTTGACTAGTTCATTTAGTGACTATTTGAAGTTATGATGGCATTGAGGACTGCCTGGCTTACAAACATCACTGGGGCCTGGACTTCCATCACTAAGCAAGGAGGTTTTAAATGAGTGTTGCCTGATAATAATGATGATAAAGTTGAAACGGACCTTGGAGGTCATCTAGTCCAACCCCCTGCTCAGGCAGGAAACCCTATACCATTTCAGACAAATGGCTGTCTGGTCTCTTCTTAAAAACTTCCAGTGTTGGAGCATTCACCGCTTCTGGAGGCAGGTTGTTCCACTGGTTAATTGTTCTAACTGTCAGGAAGTTTCTCCTTAGTTCTAGGTTGCTTCTCTCCTTGACAAGTTTCCATCCATTGCTTTTTGTCCTGACTTCAGGTGCTTTGGAGAATAGCTTGACTCCCTCTTCTTTGGGGCAGCCCCTGAGATATTGGAACACTGATTTTACAATCTTTTTTCCGCTGTGGTCATTAAATGAATCACATGACTCCTAAGCATCTCTGGCTTCCCCTATTGACTTGGCTTGTTGGAAGCCAGCTGGGGAGGTCGCAAATGGCGATCACGTGACCCTGGGACACTGCAGCCGCCAAGGGCCTGAATTTTGATCACGTGACTGCAGGGATGCTGAACCAGCTGTGGGCGTGAGAACAGGGTACGTTGAAGGTTGCTCTCCGAAAAGTAAGCTGGGTCTGAACTTGGTGTTTTTCTTGGGGGGAGGAAAGGATATCGGGAGTTTTAAGGGGCCAAATGGGTCTTAGCCAGCTTCTCCCACAAGCCACCTTCTAACTTACTTTGCCCGGTTTCAGTTTGACCCAGAGCTCGTTTTCTGGCCTCCGTAGCTCAGCAGTGAGTGTGCGGTGCGCAATGTACCAACGGTGCACAGTGTCATGAGGCACTGTGTTAATGACAGCTCGGTCGTAATTATTGTACCTGAAGAAGAAACGGAAGACTCGTTAAACGCATTTGGTTGCAAGGGGCCACACTAGCTAAACCCTTAAATATTTCAATCATCATTGGCCAAGCACGATCAAGCTGGTTTTATACATTACAGTCAGTTCCCCCTGGGGCTGGGGGATGGCTTAAAACCATTGTTAACCAGGTTCATAGGTAGGAATCCATAAATCTCTTTTCATCGTTTTATCTATTTCTTAAGAAATGTACAAGTGTGAGATGGCTTACAGGGAAAAAATAAGAGTTAAATTTGTAAATGCAAATGTAATTAATTTTTGAGAAACTCCTCACCAGTAAGAATATCTAGAATTTGGTGGGAGAAATAAACTAAAATAAGGATTGTAACAGGATCTAGAATAAGGCAACCAGAATGACTGAATAGAAAAGAAATATTATACTGACATGATTATTATTTTTAGGAATATTGGAATATATATATATGTATATTCAATTGTTATTTATCAAAACAATAAGAATTGTATTAATTCAATGTTTGCAAAAGAGGATATTTTGGGGAAAGAGGAAATCAACTAAAATTATTAATTATAGAAATTAATTGTTAATGATTGTTTTACAAATGTAACCCAGACAACACAGTTCACCAATTATTAAGGGATTTATGTTTTTAAAAAAATTCAATAAAATATATTACAAAAAAAAAGAAATCCACAAACCATGATTAACAATCTACAAGAAGTAAATTTACATCATAATCTGAGCCAGGAACAAGAAGATCCTGCTATGGCTTAAAACAGGGGTCCCCAACGCCCGGGACGCAACCCGGAACTGGATCACGGCCTGTTCGGAACCAGCCAGCACAAGTGGCAGATGAGCACCCCCATGGAGTGCCCACTGCTCGTGTAAATGGAGATGAGTTCCATTTACACGAGCGGTGGGCACTCTCTCATGCACATGAAGCTTCACTCGTGTGCCTGTCACTCACACAGAACCATTTCCTCTCCTCCCCCCCACTGGTCCGCAAAGCTGAAAGAATGGGGACCAGTGACCTAAAGGGCGATGTCCACATGAAGGCAAGGTCTTAGCAGACGGCCATTCCCCCTCACCTGATCAGGTAGAGCTCCTTGTTCCAGGGGTAGATATTCAAGACAGGTCCAACCCCAATCATGTGGTTGTGGCAGCTTCCCATGTTCTCGATGTATTCGTGCTTCAGCGGCACCTTTGTGAGAAGGTCAAAGTCTTCTGGGGATTGCTGTAGGACTTGCTCTGCTGCGTAGAAGCCATCCACCAGGAGTGTTCTGCCCCCTGTCCCTTCATGCCTCAGGCAATGGAGTACCTGGATGCTGAGAAGAAACACTCAGTTACCATACAGGTAATCCTTGACTTACAACCACAACTGAGTCCAACTTTTCTGTTGCTAAGCCACTGTTGGTGGGAATGTTCTTAGTGATTCCTTGAGGAGGCTGTGGTTTACTGTTTGTTTGTTTGTTTGTTTGTCTGAGTTGGTTTAGTGCAGGGGTCTGCAACCTTGACAACTTTAAGACTTGTGGACTTCAGCTTCCAGAATTCTGGAAGCTGAAGTCCACAAGTTTTAAAGTTGTCAAGGTTGCAGACCCCTGGTCTAGCATTAATCTTGGGGTTAATCACCAGGATCATTGACCAAGATCTACTCAGAGTCATTGACAGAGATGGGTGATCATAGAAATTGAATGAATGAATAATCTCTGCTTATCTGGATGTTGAGTAATACTAGATCAACAATACTAGACCAACAACCAGGCAGTAAATAATACACTATTAAGGAACTACCAATGGCAGATCAAGCCACCTGTATGCAAACCTCATTCCCTTCTAGCATGGATGAGGTTACCTAGTTGAAGAAAACAACCCAACTCAGAGAGTACCAAGGGCCCCGCAAAATAAATAGTACCCATATGATTCAGTTTGAGATGAGCAAAACATTCTGAGGTTCCAGTGCCAAGTCATGAGCCATTTTCTGAGGTTGGGAGAGGCAGTTTCAACGGAGAAACCGTGTCAGAATGGCCCATACTCCGAGCTGCACTCATCTTTTTCGTAGTATTCTGCCTCGTTGGCAATTGGCCCATACCCACAAGGTTCCTGAAAGTAAGTGGTATCTGTATGACGGTCCAAAGCCAGTTTGGTGTAAGCGGTGTCTCCTCGGGAAAAGTCAGAGGTGAAATACCACATCCTGCCGTAAATGGTTTCTCTAGAAGAGGAGAGAAAAGAAAATGAGAGAAAGAGACAAAGAAACAGAGACCAAGAGCCAATACTTGAGTTGACATCAACTCTTCCTACAAATGTAGACCTTCTGGATAAAATCAAAAGCATAATTGCCCGTGACACTACTCTAGTTAGACACTATTTTAGCCTTGAGACTAAAACATATGAAGAACGGCTACAGGACTTGGGGAGACATGATAGCAGTGATCCAGTATCTGAGGGGCTGCCACAAGGCAGAGGGGGCCAGGTTGTTCACCAGAGCACCAGAAGGAAGGACGAGAAACAATGGTTGGAAACTGACCAAAGAGAGAAGCAACCTGGAATTAAGGAGAAACTTCCTGACAGTGAGGACAATCAACCAGTGGAACAACTTGCCTCCAGAAATCGTGGGCGCTCCACCACTGGAGATTTTTAAGAAGAAACTAGACATTCACCTGTCTGTGACAGTATAGGTTCTCCTGCTTGAGCAGGGGGCTGGACTAGAAGACCTCCAAGGTCCCTTCCAGCTCCTATTCTATTCTAGTTCACAATTCCCAGTAACATCTGGAAATGTGGAACTTTTTCTTGTTTGGCCAGGAATGATTACAGCTGTTTCAATCCTTATGGGTGGGGTAACACAGTACAGGTAGTCTTCAACTTACAACAGTTCATTTAGTGACCGTGCAAAGTTACAATGGCACTGAAAAAAGTGACTTATGACCATTTTTCACCCTTACGACCACTGCAGCATCTCCACGGTCATGTGATCAAAATTCAGATGCTTGGCAACTGGCATGTACTTATGACGGTTGCAGTGTCCCAGGGTCACGTGATCCCCTTTTACAACCTTTTGACAAGCAAAGTCAATGGAGGGAAGCCAGTTTCGTTTAACAACCGGCTTACTAATTTAACCATTGCAGTGATTCACTTAATAGCTGTGGCAGGAAAGGCCGTAAAACGGGGCAAATTCTCTTAGCAAATCTTTTGCTTAGCAACAGAAATGCTGCTCAATTATGGTCCTATGTTGAGGGCTACCTGTACTGGCAGAATTATAGATAAAGTCAGACGAATATCTTTAATTGTGTTCATTAAGGATCAGAAGTCACTATTTGAATGGTTTATTGCAAGTTAAACATCCACAATGTAGCATCGGATCGTAAAACTACTTTTCAGTCGACAGAATTGGGACAACAGAGGGCGAGACCTTGTTGTGGTTTCCCTTATTGTGCAGAGATTTAATTCATTGCTCGTTAAATCTTTTTCTTTCAAAAAAAAAAAAAAAAAAATTTTTTTTTTTTACTAATCCACGACATGTAAGTAGTTTGCAAATCGGAGTCATCTTTCATCCACATGCAAGGGGCAATCTTTGAAAAAAAACATCAGGTCTAAAGCAGTACAGCTCACAGAAAGCTACAGAAAGCTACCGGAACTGGAATAGATTGAAGCAAACATTTGCATTCAAGGCCAAGGTGATGAATTTTGGAAATTCCCAGATTAAAAAACAGGCCTCTTCTGAAATAATTTAGGCTAAGGGGTTTGCAATCCAGGCAGAGAAGGAGAAGAAAGTAAGAAAGAAGCAAGGGTTGCAAATCCTTTTTTTCTTAAGACGCCAGGTCAGTTCAAGGGTCAGCCTGGCAGTTTAATTTTGATTAGATGTGAGATGTGTTTCTCTGCCCTTTCCTCCCCAGCCGAGAGAACATTTTTTGATCTTCAGATCTCCCAGGACTGGGCTGCCCTTTCAATCTGTTCTGTCAAAACAGGAAACAGGGCTTGCCCCGACCACTAAAACATTCCCACCCTACCACAAGAGCCATTCGCTGCAGTCTCATTCTGAGTCCACATTTCTTTCACCCACCGAACTTCACCTCTATGATAATCACAACAAAAAATGATTTTTGTTCAATACTTGAGCTGATAAAGAAATATTGTTTTCCATTCTTATTTTTGATTGTTCTGTGGGTTCTGTAGTTTTGTTCTGGTATGTAAACAGAGACCTAAGACTAATCACAGCAGCTTTAATACGAGAACTGAGCACAATATTTATGAATCTTAATTGCAGAATAAATCATCTCATGCAGGTTTTGTACATTTTTAATGAAAATTTCACGATGTCAACAAGAATACTATTTACCAGTCATGCTTGACAGAATTTAACCCTCATTCTTCACAGAAGAGTTTCTTTTTTTGCATTTTTGTACCAAGTTATTTATCAGTTTTGTACCATTTACGGCTTATTTTCTGTATAAATGCAGGCATTTTTCTATGATTTATATCATTAAAGGAACTTTAAGCATTATATATATACAGTATATATATAAAAAAAGAGCTGGCTTTTCTTTTTAGCTCAAGGTCTTTTACGACCTTTCAGAAAAAAACAAGAACAGGATTTTTGCTTGAACAGTGCATTACTAGCCTGCAAAGGGTAGACCTTAATATCTTAGCAAAAAAACAAGCCTGGCACCATATTTAGGCAAAGAAGAGATAGCATGGCTATAATTCAAGAGAACCCAGAAGCAATTGATGGGACAGATATAGTACAGGTAGCCCTTGACTGACAACCTTTCATTTAATGACTGTTCAGAGTTACAACAGCACTGGAAAAAGGGACTTGTGACCTGTCCTCACTCTTGCAACCATTGCGGGATCCCCACAGTTACATACTCAGAGTTCAGGTGCTTAGCAACAGGCGTGTATGTGTGTAAGTACGGCGTATGTACGATGGCTGCAGCTTCCTGGATTGTCATTTGCAACCTTCCCAGGGAGCTTCCGACAAGTAAAGCCAATGGGAGAAGCCCGATTTGATTAACGACCGTATGATTCACTTAACAACTATATTAATTTGCTTAACAACCGTGGTGAGAAGGTTGTAAAATGGGGGCGTGATTCGACTTAACAACTGCCTTACTTAACAAGGGAAATTTTAGAGTAAGTCAAGGACTACCTGTTATTAGGAGACTAACTCACAGCTTAATGTGCTTGACCTCCACATGATCCCAGGTTCAATACAGGTAGTCCTCGACTTACAGCAGTTCATTTAGTGACTGTTCGAGGTTACAATGGCACTGAAAAAGTGACTTATGACTGTTTTTCACACTTACGACCGTTCCAGCATCCCCAGGATCATGTGATCGAAATTCAGACGCTTGGCAACTGCCATGTACTTATGACGGTTGCAGTGTCCCAGGGGGTCACGTGATTCCCCCTTTGGCGACCTTCTGACAAACAAAGTCAATGGGGGCAGCCACATTCACTTAACAACCAGGTTACTAATTTAGCAACTGCAGTGATTCCCTTAACAACTGTGGCAATAAAAGTCATTAAACGAGACAACACTCACTTAACAACTGAGCGTTTCATTCAGCAACAGAAATTGGGGGCTCGGTTGTGGTCGTAAGTCAAGGACTACCTCTGTGTCTAATACTTTAATCGCATTTGAATCTAAGAGAAACGTCTCAAAAAGAAAAGAAAAAGAAAAGAAAAAAAGAAAAGAAAAGAAAAGAAAGAACAAAGAAAGAAAAGAAAAAAGGAAAGGAAAGGAAAGAAAAAAGAAAAGAAAGAAAAGAAAAAAGAAAAGAAAAGAAAAAAGAAAAGAAAAGAAAGGGGAAAAGAAAGAAAAAAGAAAAGCGTCAGAATGAAGAGTAAGGCTCCCTCCGATGAGCCACGGTTACCTGATCAAGCTGATCCTCTCCGCTATGATCTCCGTGTCTTCCTTGGTGGGAGGAACGTCTTCCACGAAGGCAATGCCGTACAGCAGGAAGTTCTGCAGAAATTCCCTCAGTCCCTCGTTGGTTTCCAAGAAGCTGTGGTAGTTCACGGAAGGCACTTGAGCTGCCTGGTAAATTTCGGCGTTCCACAGCATCCGGGGCTGCATGATCTGCTGCTTCTGTCCCTCGTAGCTGTTCTTCAGCAGCCATTCCAGGCCATACTTGGTCACGTGGCCATCCGGCCCTGGGGGAGACGGACAGGATCAGGGGAACCTTCCTCGAGACACGGGGGCTGTACCGCTAGGCTCTCAGTTCTGCACGTTTGCAATGGAACAGAGCATTTGACAACGCAGAAAGAATTTGGGGGGACTTATACGTGTACTAAAGTGGCCCAAATACGAGGGAGAGGAGAGAGGTGAGGAGAGGGAGGGAGGAAGAGAGAGAGAAACAGGGAGAGGGAGGGAGGAAGAGAGAGAGAGAGGGAGAGGGAGGAAGAGAGAGAGGGAGAGAGAGAGAGAGAAAGGGAGAGGGAGAGAGAGAGAGAGGGAGAGAGGGAGAGGGAGAAAGAGGGAGAGAGAAAGGGAGGGAGAGGAGAGGTAGAGAGAAAGGGAGAAAGAGAGAGGGAGAGAGAAAGGGAGACAGAGAGAGAAAGGGAGAGGGAGAGAGAGAGGGAGAGAGAAAGAGGGAGAGGAAGAGGGAGGAAGAGAGAGAGAGAAAGGGAGAAGGAAAGGGAGATGGGGAGAGACAGACAGGGAGAGAGAGGGGGAGAAAGAGGGAGGAAGGGAGGGAGAGGGAAAGAGGGAGGGAGGGAGGAAGAGAGAGAGGGAGGGAGGAAGGGAGAGAGAGAGGGAGAGGGAGAAAGAGGGAGGGAGACAGAGAGATGGAGAGAGACAGAGGGAGAGAGGGAGGGAGAAAGAGGGAGGGAGGGAGAGGGAGGAAGAGAGAGAGAGAGAGAGAGAGAGAGAGAGAGAGAGAGAGGCAGTCTCCAGAACCATCTCCCACTCTGCCTCTGGAGACATATAATTCCAGAAACTCACAGGTGACAAAGAGAGTGGCTTCATCGACTCGCACCACCTGGGGCTTGATTGTGAGGTCCACACTCGCCGTATCCAGACTGCGTTGGTTGGTCTTGGTGTTGTAGCAAGACGGCGAGCGGCAGTGGTCCCGAAGCCAAATGTAATCGAAGCGCATGAGGGTGTCCCTGTATTTCACCTCTAGGAAAAAGAACAGGTTTCCCTCAGTCAAAACGAGTGGCAAAAAGACAGCTTTCCAATTCCCCTTAAACTACGAGCATATTTTACCATCAGGGCAACTTGCAGAATAACAGAGTTGGGAGGGACCTTGGAGGTCTTCTACTCCAACCCTCTGCTTAAGCAGAAGACCCTATATCATTTCAGACAAATGACTGTTCAATCTCTTCTTAAAAACCTCCAGTGATGGAGCACCCACAACTTCTGAAGACAAGCTATTCCATTGATTGATGGGCCTCATCGTTAGGAAATTTCTCCTTAGTTCTAGGTTGGTTCTCTCCTTGATTAGTTTCCATCCATTGCTTCTTGTCTTACCTTCTGGTGCTTTGGAAAATAGGTTGACCCCCTCTTCTTTGTGGCAGCCCCTCAAATATTGGAAAAAAGCTATCATGTCGGCCCTACTCCTTCTTTTTGTTAGACTAGACCGGGGTAGGCAACCGTGGCTCTTTTATGACTCGTGGACTTCAATTCCCAGAATTCCTGAGCCAGCATGGCTCAGCTTGGAAACCTCTCCCTTTCCCCTCAGCATGGCTGGCTCAGGAATTCTGGGAGTTGAAGTCCACAAGTCATAAAAGAGTCAAGGTTCCCCACCCCTGGACTAGACATACCTAATTCTCTCAATCGTTCATCACACAGTTTTGCCTCCAGCCCCCCTAATTATCTTTGTTGCTCTTTTCTGCACCCTCTCTAGAGTCTCAACATCTTTTTTTGTATGGTGGTGACCAAAACTGGATGCAGCTTTCCAGGTGTGCTCTTGTTTGGCAACAGAGGTCCAGGTATCCACAGGTATACTGCCAGAAATATATGAACCACATCTGAAGCTTGTGGGTTGCCTTTTTTCTGGGAAAAAGTTCTGGAAACAAAGTGCCCTGTTTTGCAAATAATTACCAACATGCGCTCACGCTTGGTAATGTTTCACTCAAAAGAACCGACAGAAATAATACAAGGCAATGATATTTACTGCTAGACAATGCGAAGTGTCCTGGATTAGAAACCAAAAGACCAAGAGTTATGCTATGGGCCTCCCTTAGGCGCAAAGGCCAGTTGCGTGACTTTGGACTGGCCCTTCCCTCTCAGCCCTGGGAACGAGAAGGCAAGGGGAACCACTTTGGAAAAACCTTGCCAAGAAAACTGCAGGGATGTTGCCCAGGCAGTGCCAGGAGTCCAGACAGATTTGAAGGCATTTAAAAACAAAAACAAAAAAAAAATACCCTGTTAAAACCAGAATTAAAACACTATGAAAACATGTTAAAAATAAATCATTGGTCAAATAATTAATTAGTCAATGAAAACCTGCCTGGGCAGCAAATGTGTGATTAAATAAAAATGTTCTGAAAGGCTAAAGACAGGGAGCTGGTCTAATCTTGCTGCTGATCAGATCTTTCAGTATTTGACTGAGAAACTCTGAAAAAAAAACCCCAACCAGTGGACTTAATTGCTCTAGGTATGTTGTGACTCAGCCTGATTTCTTGTGTTCTTATAAGCTTCCCCATTGCCCGTCTACTGAACAAGCTGCTTAAGCATCTAGCTCAGGGGTAGGCAACCTTGGCTCTTTTATGAATCGTGGACTTCAACTCCCAGAATTCCTGAGCCAGCTATATTGACTCAGGAATTCTGGGAGTTGAAGTCCATGAGTCATAAAAGAGCCGAGGTTGCCTACCCCTGATCTAGCTACAACGCAAGTGTGGGTATTTATAAAGCCAAGATGGCATATTTACATGAAAGGGACGGAATGAGACAATTTGGAAAGAAGGTTATCTCAAGATTTGCAGGACTCTTCCCTCCTTCCCTCCGTTCCCCATCCTCCTCTCCTCTCCCCTCCATCCCTTTCTTCTCCTCTCCTCTCCTCTCCTCTCCTCTCCATTCGATTCCTCTCCTCTTCTCTCTCCTCTCCTCTCTTCTCATCTCCTCTCTTCTCCTCTCCTCTCCATTCCTCTCCTCTCCCTTCGATTACTCTCCTCTTCGCTCTCCTCTCCTCTCTTCTCTTCTCCTCTCCTCTCCTCTTCTCCCCTCCCCTCCCGTGATAATGCTGGAATGCACCAGAGGATGGACCATGAGCATGGAGTAACGTTCAAGAGTAGGACAAAGAAGACTAGAAAGGAGAAGGAATAGAACGTAGGCCTTTGGAAATGAGCATGACCAGGCGGATGGCATCCAGAGCAGGAACTCCCCCCACCCCCACCCATGAAGCATAGAGGTGCTCCTATCTACACCCATCTCTTTTGAACCCCCTTGCCTTCAAGGTCCAGTTCTTACCTAGGTGACCATCTTTTAACTGCCAGGCACAGCTGGGTGAGGTGGGGACTGTGTGATGCCCGTGGGTCGAAGCTGGGAGAATCCTGAAACCTTTCTTCAGCTGCTGGTGGAAGCTGCAGAGCACCTGTCTCAGTCGACAGCCCCACATCCTGGGGAAGGGAGACCCAAAAAGAGAGAACCATCACTGACTCCTAGAATCAACTGAAAACGCAAAGCAAACTCTGCAATCTGAGCTTAGCACTGGAGGGTCAATGGAAGAGAAAGAATGCAGGTCTCTTTGTAACCCAACATTGCAACTTGCCATCCAATTCTGAAGCTGCAGCAAGCTAGTGAGATGGGAGCCCCGAGAAACCAATCTTCGATGGACTTAATTTCTCCCTTGTAGAAACTTCGTAGGGTGGTGGGGGTTTTGTGGTTTCTTGTCGTCCCTCCTGTAGACGTGAGAAGGTCTACATCTGTTCCGGCGTCCTCTGTCAGGGGTTATCTTCTATTAGAGACATCGAGTCCCTACTTGGTGTCTTTGGAATTACGCAAGACTCGAACCAACGAACGCACTAAGATGTTTCATTACCCAACTAGATAACATCTTCAGTGTTCAATCAGTGCTTATCAAACTTCATGGTTTCATATAGATTTGAACATGGCACTCCCCGGCATGGGTAACACTATATCCGCAGCATTTTTCCAGATTTTTTGACCTGTAGAAACCCTTCTTATTATCTGCCCCATGATTCTTCAAGTTGGAGAGGCCATAAGGTAAATGTAAACACGGCCGGCATTAAAAACTCCTGCGTTGTACCTCTGATATGTGTTTACAGCTTAAATTACAAACTGAAAGTCAGAGAAGTGAGTGCCTGCATGCATGTGCCGTAATTAAGCATCAGATTTAGGAAAGAGTGCAGAGAAGAGCAACAAAGATGATTAGGGGGCTGGAGGTTAAAACGTATGAAGAACGGTTGCAAGAAGTGGATATGTCTAGTCTAGTGAAAAGAAGAACCAGGGGTGACAGGATAGCAGGGTTCCAATATCTAAGGGGTTACCACAAAGAAGAGGGGGGGTACCCATTTTCCAAAGCACCTGAAGGCAGGGCAAGAAGCAATGGATAGATACTATTCAAGGAGAGAAGCAACCTGGAACTAAAGAGAAATTTCCTGACAGTGAGAACAATTAATCAGTGGAACAGCTTGCCTCCAAAAGTTGTGGGTGCTCCATTGCTGGAGGCTTCCAAAAAGAGATTGGGCAGCCATTTGTCTGGAATGGTATAAGGTCTCCTGCTTGAGCAGGGGGTTGGACTAGAAGACCTCCAAGGTCCCTTCCAAATCTCTTATTCTGTATTTTGGAGGTAATTCACTCCATCCAATAAAGATTTACAAAGCCAACCCTTGGAAACTTTAAGTAAGCTTTCAGAATAATACTTCTAGGCTAGAATTGCCAAATATGTATCACAACTGAGCATTTTAAACCTAAAATTTGCTCCTTGATCTTTGCAAGGCCCATCTTCAAAAATAACCCCATGTCAGATGATCAACTACTCCCACATTATGGGAGATATTATAGATGAGCACAGTTTCCCCAATCAAAGACTGCAAAGCAGAAATCCACCCTCCAAATCTACATCTTCTAGATACAAGTGGAGATATTTAGATATGGTTATCTCTCTTGGATAGGTGGAAATCATGACATTTGGACTCCAGAATCTTTATCTGGGAGGGAAGGCTTGAAACTTTCTTTTATAGAACAAGAGAAACAAAACCACAAAAGCAAATCAAAGGTTAGAGGAAGGAAGAATGCTATTATCAAAAGGAATGACATAGCATTTTTCTAGCTGTCCTATTTTTAAACTTTAAGATATCTGCCTGTGCAATTTCTCTCAAGCCAGGCATTTTGGTGCATGCTTTGAGAGACAAACTGCTTTGCAAAATTCTGGAAAAACGGGCACTTCAGCCCAGAAAGACATTCCAGTTCATATACTTAGGACAAACGGATGCTGTACAAAAACTCAGACGTGAATATATTTCTCCAACATCCCTGCCTTTGAAATTTATTTTTAAATATGCTGACTTGGCCGTAGGTTCAGTGGTGTAAAAACCCCTTAGCTCAGTTGCCCAGAAATTCAATTACAAAACAGTGGGAATTTCTTAATCCCAGAGGCACCAAACAGAGACTAATTTACAACAAATCATCTAAGTCATTTTAATCAGAGATTGATCTTATTCTCTAATCATCCAGAGGGCAGAATGAGAACCGACAGAGCTCAGTTGCAAGGAATGAGGTTTAGGTGAGATGCCAGGAGGAACCTGTTGACTGTACAAGCTGTTAGCCGGTGGAACAGCCTGCTACATGATGTGGTAAGGTCTCCTTCACTGGATTTTGTGACTCATTCAGAGGCTAAACGAATGATTCGGGCAGATGAAAGCTATTTACAGGGAGTTCCTGACTTATAACAGTTTGTTTAGTGACTGTTCGAAGTTACAACGGTGTTGAAAAAAGTGACTTATGACCATTTTTCACACTTATGACCGCTGCAGCATCCCGGTAGTCACGTGATTTACATTTCGATGCTTGACAACTGACTCATATTTATGACGGTTGCTGTGGCTGGCTGAGGAATTCTGGGAGTTGAAGTCCACAAGTCTTAAAGTTGTCAAGTTTGAAGAGCCTTGTCGTTAAGTCAAGGACTATAACTCTGTGCTATTTTCAAAGAGCAAGAGGCATAAATCAATAATGATTTTTATTCGACCAAATTAGGTTGCCCCAGGGGACATATACAGTATTTATATATAAATACCCCGGTGATTGGCCCAGAAGAGGTGATTTTCAATCACTTGCTTTTATTATTATTATTATTATTATTATTATTATTATTATTATTATTATTGCAGAGATTCTGTTTTGGTGGTTCTTCAGTTTTTTAAAAGTTCTGTAAAATCACAGACGGTGAAATCCTCCTAAAATCCTTTAAAAAGCCAGAACTGAACATAGCCATCAAGGTCACTGAATCCCAGTTCCTTCCCAATACAGGGAATTGGCTGAAATCACCTCTCTAATCCAGTATAATTTTTAAAACTCACAGACAAAAGAATCTGGATTATCCTGGCAATAATTATTCTTAATATTTAGCAAACAAATCTTTGGGTTGAAATGTAAACTTGTTGGTTCAGGTTTTATCCTCTGGAGGAACAAGAAACCCATTTGCTCCATCATCTGTTTGGCAGCTCATCAAAGAGATTCAAAATGTCAGATTTTTTGGCTGAACACTAACCAATTTTTTTTCCTTAGGATGGAATCGCCAAACCCTTTAGTCATCTTTTTCACTCTCCGTGTATTTAACTTGCCAATTCCAATTCATTTATTAAGATGCCCTTAATAATATTCTTGCTTTTTTCCATTTTTTAAAAAGCACTTTTATGCCTTGTTCTTTCCTAGAGAATGTATGCCGTTGCCTCATAATTTTTTTTGTGCGTTATTCTTTTTTTTTGGTTACTATTTAATTCAATTTAAAATTCACTAAAAAGACGCCCTTGCTAAAAAGTGATCTTGATGCCCTTGTTTCCAAACACTTTGGAAGGGAAGAAGGAGAGGAAGCTTGCTTTGAGTCATCCTTAGTGTTTCTACATTTAAGAGTCACTTTGGAGAGCGAGGTAAGCAGCATATAAATTTAATAAATAAAATAAACTCTTCCTGCGTGCTATTTTTGTTTCGGGTCTTAAATGTGCTACCTAGGGCCAGAAAAGCAAGAGAATAAAAAATGATATTAAGGATATCACAAAAACAGCAATGATAATAATGACAAAAGACCAAGCTCTTGTAAACTATTTGGTGGCCCCGTCCTTTACTTCTTTGTTCTTTTAGACTATAAGAAATCCTAGTCGAATTCTCACGGTCCAAGAACTTTTTCGGTCGAATCTTTGATTTACTGAAAAAGCAAGTTTTCAGAAAGGTTTGTGAAGGGTTTCAAGAATTTTGTGTTGGACAAGTCTGTCTGGACGACCCACTAAAGAACTCAATGTCTCCCCCGGGTCAAAAGCCCTTATCTCCTTCCCAAGACACAGCCATCAGCCCTCTCTGTTCCACTATCTTTGTCCACCAGAAACCAACACCAAGCACCATTCATGGTGGGAACCCCCCTTGTCTTCTGCTTAATCGATTTCCTCCTGGCTCTCATCCAGCTCCTTAATTCAATTCAGAACTTGGAAGCTACCCAAGAGACACCTAAAAGGGACGTGGTGTTTCCATTTTTATTAGAACTTTTGAGAGTTTCCATTCTTTCTTCTAGCTCTCCATATTTTTCTCTTCTTTCTAGCTTTCTCATTGTACCCTTCCTCCTTCCCTGCCCTTCCCTCTTCTTTCTCTCCCCGCTGCAGGAACAGAATTGCAAGCTTACCTGATATTCTCAATTCTTTAAGGGCTCTCTAGGAGAGGGAAGGTGGACACAGGACCAGACGGCTGTTTCCTAAGCCCAGCACGGGGCCATATTGCTCTCCACCCGCTTCTTACAAACAGCCGACGAAACGAAAGGATCCAGTTGGCGTCACTGTTCAGAACTGGAACTTTTGTTTTAAAAACCCAAGTCTGAAAGTTTGGCTTTCCTAATTCTGCGTGTTTTGACGGAGAGGCTGGCCATGTTGTCTGTCTCTCTGGGGAAACTGAAATGAGAAATCCTCCTAGGATCTGGTGGGTGGCAGACAGGCAAAGCAGCTTAACAAGGAGTTTGCAGCTTCAACAGCTTTTCCCAGCCAGGCCCGATCAGGTGAGTCACTTGGAAGAGGCACCCTCGGCTATATTTCGCTTAAATGCCAAACGGGAAGAAGGTGAACAGGAATCAAAAAAACCTCCAGCCAGTTCTTCAGCAGAGGTCAGAGCAGGGGAGGACCCGCGCTCCAGCAGAACAGGCCGTCCACAAAAGGGTAAAGTTTGGGGAAAAAAATGCAAAAAATGCAATAAAACGGGAGTCCGTGTCCACCACGAGAAATCACCTCTTTGGTTCCTTCCCCAACGCTGCACAGGGGCCAAGTGGTGCTTCAGCTGCGGGCTGGCTTTTTAGCTGCTGGGTTTTTTAAAAAAAAAAAAAAAAAAGAGGGGAAGGGGGAGAAAAGCAGACAGCCTTCCAGTGAGAAAGAAAAGCCACGTTAATTTCCAGCCCTCTGGAAGAGCAGCTGTTTGCTTTGGGCCCAGACAGAGATAGAGAGAGAGACACAGACAGACGTAGGCGCTCGAAAAATATTCTAGCTCCCTCAAATGTCATGAATGAATGAATTCTGGGATCTGCTGGGAAGTCTCTTCCTTGTCGAAATTCAAGGAGAATGTTCCTTCCTTCTGGTTAAGATTCCCAGAGGTAGCAAATTAAAGCAGGGGGGGGGAAAAGGTTGAGTTTTGTAAACCTGAATTTTGCTCTCCCCAGGAATAGCCTATTTATATAACACATAACCCTGGGCAACTAATACGCCTGTGTCTGGTTTGTAAGGAAAAAACAAACCTTGGTTTATTAGATTTACAGAAATGGTTCTTTCCTGCAGAACTGGTTTGCTTTTAAAACGAATGTTGTTTTCAAAGCTCTATTATTGCCAGAGGGTTGATTGCACTTATTTATTTGGCACCTTGCTCCAGACCCTCGTCTGGAAGGGAAACATGAAACAACAGCAGCGGAAACCCCTTCACTTCATTTCCTAGAAGTGAAATATAGGGACACTCTCATTTGGTCACAAAGCCAAATGAGACTGTCCCTACGTTTCACTTCTAGGAAAAGAACGCGCTTCCCTCAGTCAAAACGAAGGGCGAAAAGAAAGCTCTATACTTAAACTATGAACACATTTTAGCATCAGTGCAACTTACAGAATTACAGAATATTTATAGATATTAATAATAATAGTAAAGTTGGAAGGGACCTTGAAGGTCATCTAGTCCAACCCCCTGCTCAGGCAGGAAACCCTATACCATTTCGGACAAATGGCTGTCCAGTCTCTTCTTAAAAACTTCCAGTGTTGGAGCATTCACCGCTTCTGGAGGCAAGCAGTTCCACTGGTTAATTGTTCTCATCATCAGGAAATTCCTCTTGAGCATTAGGTTGGATTTCTCCTTAATAAGCTTTCCTCTGTTACTTCTTGTCCTGCACCTATTCTCTTTGGAGAATAGATCCACCCCCTCTGGGACGCCCTTCTGCTCCCAGCTGCTGCTCAAGCAGGAGACCCCATATCATTCTGAACAAATGGCTGCCCGGTCTCTTCTTTAAGATCTCCAGTGATGAAGCACCCACAACTTCTGGAGGCAAGCAGTTCCACTGGTTAATTGTTCTCATCATCAGGAAATTCCTCTTGAGCATTAGGTTGGATTTCTCCTTAATAAGCTTTCCTCTGTTACTTCTTGTCCTGCACCTATTCTCTTTGGAGAATAGATCCACCCCCTCTTCTCTGTGACAGCCCCTCAAGTATTGGAAGACTGCTATCATATCACCCCTAGTCCTTCTCTTCACTAGACCTGACATTCCCCGTTCATTGCACGGTTTAGCCTCCAGACCCCTTATCATCTTGCAATAAAAGGCTACTCTGAACAATAAGGAACACTTAGTCCCTTTTTTGGCCAAAAGCACTTATTGGCTTACCTTCCCAGAGACTAAAATAAGCATACAGCTCTAACGCACGCACGCATACAATGTTTATCCAGGCTGCAATAATGGAGAGAAATTCAGATATTAGGTTACTTAACCTTCTGCCCGTGTTTTCATCCGAGTCCCTGAACATTTGAAAATGATTCATTAGAACAAACCTCAGCTGGGAAAAGTCAGATCAGACTCAGATTGCATCAAGAGATGTCAAAAGAGAGAGTAATTCCTAGGGATTCGGGAAAACAAACAAGAGAGCAATTTGGTTTGTGTGGTAAAAGATTCCTTCGCACAAACATAACTGCGCCCCAACAGAGTAGATCGCAAACTTCAATTTTCTCCCAGCAAAACATCCTACAACTGACCAATTCAGGATCATAAACAATCTGGGTATGCGAAGCAACAACATCCATCAACCACACCCATTAGATGTGTTAGATAGGGGGGTGTCTATGGAAGTTGTAGTCCAAGACATTTGGGAGTTGAGTTCTGGGAGTTGAAGTCCACAAGTCATAAAAGGGCCACGTTTGAAGACTCCTGAACTAACAAATGGAACATAAACTAACCTGGTTACCTCTAACGGCATTAAATATCTGAAATGCCCCACCAGCAAAGCTCATGCTGACCGGTAACTGATGGTTTAGATGCCACGTAGTCATTTTCAACTCCAGATAGATTTGACTGGCAATTATGGCAATTAAACTCCCAGCACATCCGGAAGGCACCAGATCATAAATGTTTGAAGAAATGGCACTGCCAAAACCTCTCAACTGTTGATACTGAGCTGACTCAGTATCTGTTAAGAGGTCTATATTTCCCCTTTGCGCTCTCTCTCTCTCTTCTCTCTCTCTTTCTTTCTCTCTCCTCTCTCTCTCTTTCTCTCTCTCTCCTCTCTCTCAAAACTGAAATGTTTTTGTCCCTGTCCCTGGTCAGTTCCATCCCTTGAAAGAATGGAAACAAACAGGAAAAGTGACCCAACAGGCTCAACTCTCAGCAAAGGTCACCATCCAGGTATTTTGATAAAAGTTATCTTCCTGATCTGTGGGCAGGAACACCCAGGGTCTTGAAAACCGCATTGCTTTCCACCAGATACAAGGAATCTTCGAATTGCAACCATTTAAAGGTTCGGCGGTGTTGAAAAAAAGGGACTTATGACCGGTCCTTGCACTTACAACAATCACAGCATCCCTGTGGGTCACATGATCAAAATTTGGTGCTTGGCAACCAGATGGTTGCAGCATCCCAGCTCAGGTGATCACCATGTCCATCTTTCTCAGGATGCTTCTGGCAAGCAAAGTCAACAGGGGGGAGCTGGATTTGCTTAAGAACTGAGTGATTCGCTTAATGACCGTGGTTTAAAAAGGGGGGTAAAATCGAGTACCACACATCTAACAAACCCATCGCTTAGCCATGGAAGGTCTGATCCCAAATGTGGTCGTTCAGTCGAGGACTATTTGTACAGGTGCCCTTCAAGATACGCCGGGGGGGGGGGGGGTTAGGAGATTTGGGCTGCATGAATGCCACTAACCACTAGATGGCACCAAAGGGAGGCTGAGAAATCTGAACTCTTTCCTGCCATCTAGAGAGCACCAATATATTTGCAGCTCCTAGCTAGACATTCTGAAATAAAACAGGACTGGAATAGCTCGCATGATTTTGAGCCACAAAGCCCCAATATGACAGGAAGGCACCGGTCTGAGGAAGATTAGGGTCCAAGTTTTGAATTACTAGTGGCGGAAGAAGGAAGCCTTGTCTGCAGAAAATCAGCCCTCTCTTGTTAAATATTTGAAGCCGGAAGCATGTGCTAGGAAGAAAGAACCGAACTCAGTAATTCTCAGATGGCATTCAGACTCAACAAGGGTGAAGATTAGGCAGCTGGTGAGAGAGAGAGAGCAAAGCAGCCGATTCTGCACAAGACTTTGCAGAAGAGGGATGCAGATGTTGGAGGCTTAACAAGTCCTTGCTGGCTGAGGCTCATGGGAGATGAAGTCCAAACTCTTTGGAGCACACAGCAGTCAGTTTCCCCTTCCTACCATGATTTAAACCGCCTAAAGCAGCTTCACAGATTTTATTTTCCTGGGCTCCAAGATCACCGCAGAGGGGGACTGCAACCAAGAAATTAAAAGACGCTTGCTCCTGGGGAGGAAAGCTATGGCAAATCTAGACAGCATACTAAAAAGCAGAGACATCACCCTGCCAACAAAAGTGCGTCTAGTCAAGGCCATGGTTTTCCCAGTTGCAATGTGTGGCTGTGAAAGTTGGACCATAAGAAAGGCTGAGCGCCAAAGAATTGAGGCCTTTGAACTCTGGTGCTGGAGAAGACTCCTGCGAGTCCCCTGGACTGCAAGGCGATCTAACCGGTCAGTCCTAGAGGACATCAACCCCGACTGCTCTTTAGAAGGCCAGATCCTGAAGTGGAAACTCAAGTACTTTGGCCACCTAATGAGAAGGAAGGACTCGCTGGAGAAGAGCCTAATGCTGGGAAAGATGGAGGGCAAGAGAAGAAGGGGACGACAGAGGATGAGGTGACTGGATGGAGTCACTGAAGCAGGAGGCGTGAGCTTAAATGGACTCCAGAAGATGGTAGAGGACAGGAAGGCCTGGAGGAACGTTGTCCATGGGGGCGCGATGGATGGGTCAGACACAACTTCGCAACCAACAACAACAACAACAACAACAACAAAGCAGCTTCTTCAGAGGTTTAGAAGCAGGACTTCACCCAAGGCATTCCCGGTAAGAATTTGGCAGGATGGAACAAACAAGCAGGACTTGCAAAAGAGACGTTTGCCCCAAAGCCCAATACAGCTCAGACTTAACAGTGGCTGGCTATTATGGGATACCTAAACAAGAGGAGACAGGACCGCTTAGCCTCCCATTCTGGGTCAAAGGACATGGGAGCAAAATCTTGAAAAGAGGGCGACTTAGGGTTGAATAGCAGGCGAGGGAGATGAAAGGAAAAAAAGGAAACAACCGCAAAAAAAGAGAGAAAGAACTACAGTCTCTATCTAAGATTCTCTTGGCGAAGAAATGGCTTTATTCCTTGCAAATGCTTTCATGCCGATTCCATCACCAAGACCCTATGCAGAGCAAACGTACTCTGGACATGTTCAGAAACACTCTTCCTTGCGCTTCTGAGGCTCCCTCTCAATGAAACCCGGTAAAAGACCCCTCCAGAAACCCTGAAAGTTCTGGAGCCCCCTCCCCAACCTTCCCTATTTCTTTTCTCTTGCTGCATTTCATTCCTGCAGCAACCGAGACGCGAACTTACCTCGCAGGGTCTCCGGACGGGAGAGGGACTCCTGCCCCGCCCCGCCCCTCCAGGAGGAGAACCATAGAGCGGCGGGGCAGAGCGGACCCAAGGAATGCCCCGCCCCTAAACGAAAGAAAGGGAAAGAGAGCGCAAAGGGGAAGAGATGCACGCTCCAAGACACTTCCGGATCCCAACAGAATAGATAAGATAACCTTTTATTGTCATTTTTTTTTTTTTTACTGTGGGCACACTGGCCCACATTAAAAATGAAATTCTGTCGCCTGCTCTCAAAAGTGTACAATACGCGTACCTAACACACCTATAGACATGATATATACATAAATATGTACATACCTGCACCCTGACATATAAATACATATAAATATTAATCACTGTCCCTCTTGAAGACATAGCGGAAAGAGGAAGCGTGAGAGATCATGAAATCTCCCTGTCTTTTCCACCTTTTGCTTGGAGGGAAAGGAATAATTGCAGATTGTTATTTGCAAGATCCTAAGTTTTAGTCTTGTATGGCCATCTATGGCTTTATTATTCATAATAATAATAATAATAATAATAATAATAATAATAATAATAATAATAATAATAATAATAATTTGAATTATTATTATTAGACTTGAATGATTACGTTTCCACCAGGCTTAGACTGTAAACCTAACTGTAGATTCCCACAGTTATACTAAGCTTTATTTACCTAATTTATATAGCCACTCAACTCTAACCGTATTCCTATTCTACTGCAAATATTCCTATTCTATTGCTAATGCATTTTAAGATAACAGATTCCTTTTCGGTTTAGCTATTTGGATTAATCTTACTGGTTTCATAGATGTCCTGTCCCTACTTCTGTGTTATATTTCATTACTGTATGCATATAGGGAACTCTGATTGGATCCTACCGTATTTTATTTTGTGATTTGCGGGTCGATAACCGAAACAGAATTTCTGATTTTCTAGCGTCTTTTGCTCCGCAGATGGAAGTGGTCTCAATAGAAACCGGAAGTCACGTTGTCCCCGCTTGAGCCTCTATGACAGTGTTTTTTAGCCTTGGAAACTTAAGGTATGTGGACCTCAAGTCTCAGAAGGAATTCTGGGAGTTGAAGTCCATTCTGCTTAAAGTGGCTAAGGCTGAAAAAAGCTGCTTTACTGTACTGTGTGGAGTGGAGGGCTATTCACCCCCAAAGCTCTAGTCTTCTACACTGTGATTTCCGTTTTTTCCAGTGACATTAGTGGTTCTCCGACTGGCAAATACAGAGGTTTCATTCACAATGCCCCTGCTTTCTCCAATGTTGCATCCAGCCACATTTTAGCCATGCATATTTTAGCTCTCGATCCCTGTGGTTAATTTTTGGTTCCATGTGTTGTGACACCACAAAATATTGGCTGCATGAAGTAAACCCTGGTTTTAGTACAGTCACTCAGCATGTTGTGCAAAGACAGCCACAGAAAAAGAAAAAGCAATAAAATGCCAAATGAAACGCCTCTTTGTAGCAATTGCGTTTTAAAACCAAACAATTTCATGTCAATGTCCATTTGCTGATAGGAAACCAAACTAAAGAATAACATCCCAGAAATGCTTGCAAAGGTATCAAAACCAAACAACAAAGCATTTCTTAAATGTTACTTTTCTAAGTAACATTCTAAGCCAACACTTCTATATCCTTTTACTGTACTGTACTCAATTCATGTATTTAAGATGTTCTGCGGGGTTCTTTTTTTAAAAAAAAAAAAAAGCCATACAAAAAATACCTGGAAAAGCATTGGACCCGATAGAAATAGATAGAATCTCAGTATGTCAATTACAAAAGTTGTATTACCCTACTTCCCTAGCAAGGATACAATAATTAAAAGTACCAAACCCAGTCAGACTTATCTGGTAGGCTGTGTGTAAAAATACTAATAGTATTAATCATAAACACAACAACGTGCAAATAGAAATAGAATGACTGTGGCAAAAGAAAGCAAAGGTAGTACTAATAGTGGTGCCTTGGGTGCAATCCCAAAACATCTGGAGCACCAGTGGAGCATCATTGGCAAAAATCACGATCAAGTCCAGTCAGGCCATTCCGGGCACCAGGATCTCAGCCTGACCTCTTGCAAGTATTCTATAGTTACTTTTTGAAATTTTCCTTCATCTGTTTCATTTTAAATGATTGTTTTGAATTTTGCTTTTACGCTTTGTGGAGCTGGCCGGAGTTGAATAAATGGAATTAAGCTAAGCCTGAGTGAAAGTCCTTTTTTACCACTAGAGGCCGTTCTACTCCACGATTGAAAGAGGTTGGGTCGTTTCCTCCCCTTTTTAGCCTTATCCAGAAATACTGAATACAGAGCCATTAGCAGGAAAAAGTGTGCTTGCCTTCCAGATCTGCAGTTCTGTCGTTACTTCTGTGTCAGTGACCAGAATGGGGTTTGCGAAAGTTGAAGAGCAGCAGGTTAAGAGTGCTGCAAGGGGCAAACTCATCCATACATTTGCTGTTGTACCCAGTGACTGGGGAATTACATGGGAACATGCCTGAAAGTCTTAGCAATTGTTGTTGTTAATTGCGAAGTCGTGTCCGACCCATCGCGACCCCATGGACAACGTTCCTCCAGGCCTTCCTGCCCTCTACCATCTTCTGGAGTCCATTTAAGCTCACGCCTACTGCTTCAGTGACTCCATCCAGCCACCTCATTCTCTGTTGTCCCCTTCTTCTCTTGCCCTCCATCTTTCCCAGCATCAGGCCCTTCTCCAGTGAGTCTTAGCAATTAATGTCTTAGCAATTAACCGGAAGCTTTTTTTAAAAAAAAATGAGGGTACAATTTGAACAATATTCAGATTCCTTGAAATGGAGGAACCCTGACCAGTTTCCTGCTGATATTCAATTTTTTTCTCTCCCGAATTGCATTCCACAGGCGTGGAAAAGTGATCCCGTTTGAATTGCTCTGTCTGATCCACATTTGAGGGCTGGAAATGAGCTAGCAGGATTTTTTGTGTCACATTTTCTCCAGGAACTCCTTTGTCTTCCTCCCCCAGCCAGCTTTGAGAAACAGCATCACCCATTCCTTCAACTGCTTTGACATTTGCTGTGATTAACCTGGTCAGGTTTTCAGAAACGTGCTAGGAAGAATTCAGCCCCAGTTGTGATCATAGGTCAAAGGATACCTGAGTTTAACAAATTATAATTTGAGGAATCCTGAAACATAAATGTCAACCCAGCTTTCCCTTACTTCACTGGTGCATTTTTCTTCTGACTGGCCCCGTGTCAAATTCAAATCAGAAGTCGATATATCAGAATAACAGAGTTTGAAGGGACCATGTAGGTCATCTAGTCCAACCCACCCAGGCAGGAAACTACACCATTTCTGACAGATGGCAGTCCAGTCTCTTCTTGAAGGCTTCCAGCGATGACATTGACAAAAGTCTCAGGTGCAACTTTGCTAAATTAGAATCTTTTCGGCAGACAGTAATAAGTCTTACATACAATGTTTGATTGTCCAGTGAAGATCAAAAAAGACGGAGTCTATATTGAAAACTTCCGGTAATGAATCTAGAGCTGAGCAAAAATTGAGGATTTCATTTGCGTTCCTTTCACTTCCTGATCCTGGCATTTGAACCCTAATTTCAGAAAAGCCGCTGGAGCGACCCGTGAATCCCAAGAAATCCCAATCATTTAAAATATGGCTAGTGTCGATGGAGAATCTCCATCATCCAGGCCATGATTGTCCCAAAGGTACTTTTTCCAAAAGGCAACTGGACATTCTTTGTTTTTCTTGAACTTCTTCAGTTCCTATTGCTGGTATCCAACTGGTTGTTCCCACCCACCCACCCCCTCTGCTCCAATGAGCAAGGCTTACAAGCAGCTTTAAGATCCAGAGGGACTTGTTTTATCACTGCCTTGCTCTGGGGGCAGAAATGGAAGCGCTTTCCAGGGCCTCTCATGCCGAGAGCGGTTCCCAGAGGAAAGAAGATGGTGACTCACTCCATGAGCTCAAAGTTTAAGCATTTCTGGCCTCCCTGAGAATGTTTCACAGGCCCTGCTTGGGATTCCGGAGGGCTGCTGGCACCTCTCAGGGGGGCTGTGGGAGGGATCCGTTCCAGCCCCTGGCGGGTGGTGGCCAGGCCCGGTGTCCATGGGAATGACCCCTGTCTCTTGAACGGAATCCTGTTCCTTCTGCATGTTCACACCACTAGCTCCTTCACTTGGCCAAAAAGCACAGCCCTCTGTTTTCAATTTCCCCATCAAGAACCAGGGAATAACACGAAATAACAGACTAACAGAGCTGGAAGCGACCTTGGGGGTCTTCAGGTCCAACCCCCTGCTCAAGCAGGAAAGTCTATACTATGAGATGGTATAGGTTCTCCTGCTTGAGCAGGGGGTTGGACTAGAAGGCCTCCGAGGTCCCTTCCAGCTGTGTTAGTCTGTTATTACTGTGTAACAAACCAATAATAACCGCAAACAATGCAAAAGAAAGCACAGGCAGTCCTCAAGCTACGACTGCAATTGAGCCCCAACATTTCTGTTGCTAAGTGAAAAATGTGTTCCGCGAGTCTTGCCCGTTTTACGACCTTTCTTGCCACAGTTCTTAAGCGAATCACTGCAGTTGTTAAGTGAGTCACACGGTTGTTAAGTGAATCTGGCTTCCCCGTAGACTTTGATTGTCAGGAGGTCGCCAAAGGGGATCCCGTGACCCCAGGACATTGCGACCGTCATAAATATGAACCAGTTGCCCTGCGTCCGAATTCTGATCCTGTAACCATGAGGATGCTGCAATGGTTGTAAGTGTGAAAAATGGTCAAAAGTCACCTTTTCCGGTGCTGTTGTAACTTCAGACAGTCACTAAATGAACTGTTGTATGTCAAGGATTACCTGTACACTCTGATCCATTTCTGTCCTGGGGTATGATTTCCTTTCAATGTTGTGAAGGATGGTGTTTTTTTTCTCCCCATCACCCTCTTCTCTCTCCCTATGCCTTCCTCCCTTTTCCTCCCTCCCTCCCTCCCTCTCTCTCTTCCTCTGCCTGCCTGCCTCCC